GAGTGTGTGAAGTTTGTATGTTCTCCCTCTGTTCTGCATTGTGTGGAGTTTGTATGATCGCTCCCTGTTCTACAGAGTGAGTGGGGTTTGTATGTTCTTCCCCTGTTCTACAGAGTGAGTGGAGTTTTTTATGAACTCCCCCTGTTCTCCAGTGTGGAGTTTGTATGATCTCCCCCTGTTCTGCAGAGTGTGCGGAGTTTGTATGATCTCCCCCTGTTCTGCAGTGAGTGTGTGGAGTTTGTATGATCTCCCCCTGTTCTGCAGAGTGTGCGGAGTTTGTATGATCTCCCCCTGTTCTGCAGTGAGTGTGTGGAGTTTGTATGATCTCCCCTGTTCTGCAGAGTGTGTGAAGTTTGTATGTTCTCCCTCTGTTCTGCATTGTGTGGAGTTTGTATGATCGCTCCCTGTTCTACAGAGTGAGTGGGGTTTGTATGTTCTTCCCCTGTTCTACAGAGTGAGTGGAGTTTTTATGAACTCCTCCTGTTCTCCAGTGTGTGTGGAGTTTGTATGATCTCCCCCTGTTCTGCAGAGTGGCGTTTGTATGATCTCCCCCTGTTCTGCAGTGAGTGTGTAGAGTTTGTAAGATCTCCCCTTGTTCTGTAGTGAGTGTGCGGAGTTTGTATGATCTCCCCCTGTTCTGCAGTGTGTGGAGTTTGTATGATCTCCCCCTGTTCTCCAGTGTGGAGTTTGTATGATCTCCCCCTGTTCTGCAGAGTGAGTGGAGTTTGTATGATCTCCTCCTGTTCTGCAGTGTGTGGAGTTTGTATGTTCTCCCCCTGTTCTGCACTGTGTGGAGTTTGTATGATCTCCCCCTGTTCTACAGAGTGAGTGGAGTTTGTATGCCCTCCCCCTATTCTGCAGAGTGTGTGGAGTTTGTATGATCTCCCCCTGTTCTACAGTGTGTAGAGTTTGTATGATCTCCCCCTGTTCTGCAGTGAGTGTGTAGAGTTTGTAAGATCTCGCCTTGTTCTGTAGTGAGTGTGCGGAGTTTGTATGTTCTCCCCCTGTTCTGCACTGTGTGGAGTTTGTATGATCTCCCCCTGTTCTACAAAGTGAGTGGAGTTTGTATGTCCTCCCCTTGTTCTACAGAGTGAGTGGAGTTTGTATGATCTCCCCCTGTTCTACAGAGTGAGTGGAGTTTGTATGTTCTTCCCCTGTTCTACAGAGTGAGTGGAGTTTTTATGAACTCCCCCTGTTCTCCAGTGTGGAGTTTGTATGATCTCCCTCTGTTCTGTAGAGTGTAGTGGAGTTTGTATGTCCTCCCCCTGTTCTGCAGAGTGGAGTTTGTATGATCTCCCCCTGTTCTACAGTGAGTGGAGTTTGTATGTTCTCAACCTGTTCTGCAGTGAGTGAGTGGAGTTTGTATGTTCTTCCCCTGTTCTACAGAGTGAGTGGAGTTTTTATGAACTCCCCCTGTCCTCCAGTGTGTGTGGAGTTTGAATGATCTCCCCCTGTTCTGCAGTGAGTGTGTGGAGTTTGTATGATCTCCCCCTGTTCTGCAGTGAGTGTGTGGAGTTTGTATGATCTCCCCCTGTTCTGCAGAGTGTGTGGAGTTTGTATGATCTCCCTCTGTTCTGCAGTGTGGAGTTTGTATGTCCTTCCCCTGTTCTACAGAGTGAGTGGAGTTTTTATGATCTCCCCCTGTTCAGTAGAGTGTTGTGGAGTTTGTATGATATCCCCCTGTTCTGCAGAGTGGAGTTTGTATGATCTCCCCCTGTTCTGCAGAGTGAGTGGAGTTTGTATGTTCTCCCCCTGTTCTGGTGTCGAGTTTGTATGTCCTTCCTTTGTTCTACAGTGTGTGGAATTTGTACGTTCTCCCCCTGTTCTCTACGCATTTCCTCCGGGTTCTCCCAGAGCTAATATAAACCCCAAATGTAGCTACCCCATAATTACTCAATTGGGATTTTTGGTGATACAGATCACGCACATGACAAACGTGATACTCATATTGCCATACGGTATTCATTTCCCCGCAACTTTGCGAAATTAACATCTGCGGTCAATTGGACCGTTCTCTCTGCTGCTGAACTTACATAACAGCACGCGATTATGGCCAAAAAATTATTAGACCGCCAGTTGGTTAGCACCATACGCCTGCACGTAATTATCCTGTCCATTCATTGGCCAGACGAGTAGAGGACCACCTGCCCTGTGACGACGAACAATAAGACGCGACTGTCATTGCCATTCACTTCTCGCAACCGTCCTGTAACTCTAATGCCGAAAAGTAATGTTTTATTTTCAATAAATGGCATAACATTCCAAGATATGTACGTGCATGGACTCCTCTACTTACGAACGTTCGACTTACGAACTTTCAGAGATACGGACAAACCCACTTGCAGAACGTAAAGAACCAGTGGCATCTACACATTCCTGCGGAGGGAGCTGGTGCGAACGTTGGGTTGCTCGGTCAATGGCCAGGGTCAACGGTGGCACCACGTGGTGTATTCCGCACAATATGCCCGACTGGCGAGGGCGGGCACAAGCCGGCGCGAGTAGGTTAAACGTTGAGTTTTATAAGGGCACCACGGGGTGACCAGCCCCTCCCCATGCAGCCCCACCACTCCCACCCCCCACCCAGCCCCTTCCCACCCAGCCCCTCCCCACCCTCCCCACCCTCCCCTCCCCACCCTCCCCTCTCCACCCAGCCCCACCCCTCCTATTTTTGTATGCACGACGGACGGACACAACAATAATCCCCTGTGGGCTGGTGGTTGTCACCAGAAGGTTCCTACCAGTGTTACTACTACAGGAGGTGGCCGGGTATATGGTCAGCAGAGGGCAGGGCAGCACCGTTGCGTCTTGTGTTGGCACTCCTCTGCCGCCACACACAAATCCCCATATGGGGCCGTCCATAAATGACGTCACGCACCTAGGGGAGGGGGAGGGGTCACACATTTGTGCCGATGTGTGACGAGGGGGGGGGTTGAGAAATGTGACGTCACATCAAAATGCGCAACTTTAAATAAATACAGACAACGCGTTCTACTTAATTAAATATACGTTTTAATAAATGTTTTCTACCTACAACATCAGAGTGCAGCGCCACATTAAATACGCACTACAATGACAATAGTTTTAAAGCGATTTGAAGCATGGTTTATATTTTTTGGGCGAGGGGGGGGGGGCAGAGCTTTGTGACGTCATATTTGAGGGGGGGGGTCTGACTCTTTTGTGACGCCGTGTGACGAAGGGGGGGGGGGGTGGTCAAAAATCATCCAAAATCGCGTGACGTCATTTATGGACGGCCCCTATGAACCAGCGGGGTGAAGTATGGTCATATAATCTTGATTTGAAGCTTTCGTGACTGGAAGGAATCCATACTCTTTGGTTCTTTCGGTAAAGTCACGTGGGTAGAAAATAAAATAAAATAAATCACGACGTTTCGGGCGCAACACAAGCGTCCGTCATCAGGTGAGAAACGGGACGCTTGGTATTGCGCCTGAAACGTCGTGATTATTTTATTTTCTACCTACGTGACTTTACCTAAAGAATCAAGAGTATGGTCATATAACTCACCTGTCAAACCCTTATCAGTGCCCTACCTTATTATAGACCAAGGGACCGTCCATAAAATGACGTCACGCGATTTTGGCCGATTTTTTTTACCCTCCCCCCTCGTCACACGGCCGTCATAAAGTCAGACCCCCCCTCAAATATGACGTCACAAAGCTCTGCACCCCCCCCCCCCAAAATAACATGCTTCAAATCGCTTTAAACTATTGTCATTGTAGTGCGTATTTAATGTGGTGCTGCACTCTGATGTTGTAGGTAGAAAACATTTATTAAAAAGGAGGCGTTGGAAAGCTGCAAATTTAGCATAAAATTCACTTGAAAATATTCAACGTCTTAACTAAAACTGGAAGATGTTCAGAATATTATATTGAAATTATTTTATAATTATAAGATATTAAAAGTAATTATAACTATAAAAATAATTTACTTGAAACTTTGTAGTAGAACGAAGCAAAATGGAGAGTACAATTATAACAATCAACATTCATTCCACAGAATGAAAAACCCTGGTAGAATAATTAAAATCAAAATGTGTAATTACAATCATTACATTTTTTTACAAAATTTATGCTTCTCCATTCTCCCATGGAGAATCAAAATGCTCCTTCATGGAATAAATAAAAGGTCACCTTAGTAAATTTAAAAATTCAAATAGTTAATGAAAATTTTAAAAAAATTAGTGTTATAACAATTCTATTATATTCTTGGTTCTTTCGGTAAATTCACGTAGAAGGGAAACAATAAACAATATAAAACAATAAAATTCTCACGACGTTTCTACTGCAACACAAGCAATCATCATCAGGTGTGAAAACCACAGCAAGAAAAATTGAAAAAAGTGGCGTTTTTTTTTGCCGTGGTTTTCACACCTGATGATGATTGCTTGTGTTGCAGTCGAAACGTCGTGAGAATTTTATTGTTTTATATTTTTTTTATTATTTTATTGTTTCCCTTCTACGTGACTTTACCGAAAGAACCAAGAATATGAATCCCTGCAGTCACGAAAGCTTTAAATCAAAATTTAACAATTCTATTGTTTATATTTATTTAAAGTTGCGCATTTTTACGTGACGTCACATTTCTAACCCCCCCCTCGTCACACATCGTCACAAATGTCTGAACCCCCTAGGTGTAACGTCATTTATGGACGGCCCCCAATTGAGACCTTATCGGTCACCCCGTGCCCCTTAAAGTCTCAACGTTCATCCTACAAAGTGCCATACGATAGTTAGTTGTAGGCAGCGATGACAAAATCTGACAGCTGTGGTGGTGGTGGTGATGTCCATTCACCTCCCGTCCAGCGACACCACGCAGAAACGACATGGATCGAATCGCCGGAGATCCACATTTCAACACCTCGTCGCGGATTTGAATCGATTACCATACGTCCGGATCGATTCAACCCTACCACGACCCCACGACACCGAAAGCTTCGGAATCGAAGTCGCAGAACAGAAACACAAAGAGATTATCGGATCGATTCCGCGGGGCGGGGCTTGAGGGGGGAGGGGAGGAATTGCCCGGTGACGTCACCGGGGCGCCGTGGTTCGTTGACGGCCCCGCCGGCTCGGTACAGTGCGGAGACAGCTTCTGGGTGGTGAGTAGTGGTGGTGAGTAGTGGTGGTGGTTGTTGTGGTGGTGGTTGTTGTGGTGGTGGTTGTGGTGGTGGTGGTGGTGAGTAGTGGTGAGTAGTGGTGGTGGTGGTTGTGGTGGTGGTGAGTAGTGTGGTGGTGGTGGTGAGTAGTGGTGGTGGTGGTGAGTAGTGGTGGTGGTGGTGAGTAGTGGTGGTGGTGGTGGTGAGTAGTGGTGGTAGTGAGTAGTGGTGGTGGTGGTGAGTAGTGGTGGTGGTGAGTAGTGGTGGTGGTGGTGAGTAGTGGTGGTGGTGGTGAGTAGTAGTGGTGGTGGTGGTGAGTAGTGGTGGTGGTGGTGAGTAGTAGTGGTGGTGGTGAGTAGTGGTGGTGGTGGTTGTGGTGGTGAGTAGTGGTGGTGAGTAGTGGTGGTGGTGGTTGTGGTGGTGGTGGTGAGTAGTGGTAGTTGTGGTGGTGAGTAGTGGTGGTGGTGGTTGTGGTGGTGGTGAGTAGTGGTGGTGGTGAGTAGTGGTGGTGGTTGTTGTGGTGGTTGTGGTGGTGAGTAGTGGTGATGAGTAGTGGTGGTGGTGGTGAGTAGTGGTGGTGGTGAGTAGTGGTGGTGGTTGTGGTGGTGGTGAGTAGTGGTGGTGGTGGTGAGTAGTGGTGGTGGTGAGTAGTGGTGGTGGTGGTTGTGGTGGTTGTTGTGGTGGTTGTGGTGGTGAGTAGTGGTGGTGGTGGTGAGTAGTGGTGGTGGTGAGTAGTGGTGGTGGTTGTGGTGGTGGTGAGTAGTGGTGGTGGTGAGTAGTGGGGTGGTGGTGAGTAAGTGGTGGGGTGAGTAGTGGTGGTGAGTAGTGGTGGGTGGTGGTGGGTAGTGGCTGAGTAGTGGTGGTGGTGGTGGTGAGTAGTGGTGGTGGTGAGTAGTGGTGGTGAGTAGTGGTGGTGGTGGTGGTTGTGAGTAGTGGTGGTGGTGGTGAGTAGTGGTGGTGGTGGTGAGTAGTGGTGGTGAGGTGGTGGTGGTGGTGGTGGTAGTGGTGGTGAGTATGTGGTGGTGGTGGTGAGTAGTGTGGTGGTGGTGGTGAGTAGTGGTGGTGGTGGTGAGTAGTGGTGGTGGTGCGTAGTGGTGGTGGTGGTGAGTAGTGGTGGTGGTGAGTAGTGGTTGGTGGTGGTGAGTAGTGGTGGTGGTGGTGAGTAGTGGTGGTGAGTAGTGGTGGTGTTGGTGGTTGTGGTGGTGGTGGTGGTGAGTAGTGGTGGTGTGGTGGTTGTGGTGGTGGTGAGTAGTGGTGGTGGTGGTGAGTAGTGGTGGTGAGTAGTGGTGGTGGTGGTGAGTAGTGGTGGTGAGTAGTGGTGGTGAGTAGTGGTGGTGGTGGTGAGTAGTGGTGGTGGTGGTGAGTAGTGGTGGTGTTGGTGGTTGTGGTGGTGGTGAGTAGTGGTGGTGGTGGTGAGTAGTGGTGGTGAGTAGTGGTGGTGAGTAGTGGTGGTGGTGGTGAGTAGTGGTGGTGGTGGTGAGTAGTGGTGGTGGTGGTGGTGAGTAGTGGTGGTGGTGGTGAGTAGTGGTGGTGGTGGTGAGTAGTGGTGGTGAGTAGTGGTGGTGTTGGTGGTTGTGGTGGTGGTGAGTAGTGGTGGTTGTGGTGGTTGTTGTGGTGGTGGTGAGTAGTGGTGGTGGTGGTGAGTAGTGGTGGTGGTGGTGAGTAGTGGTGGTGAGTAGTGGTGGTGGTGGTGAGAGTAGTGGTGGTGGTGTGTGAGTAGTGGTGGTGGTGGTGAGTAGTGGTGGTGGTGAGTAGTGGTGAGTAGTGGTGTGGTGGTGAGTAGTGGTGGTGGTGGTGGTGAGTAGTGGTGGTGGTGGTTTGTGGTGGTTGTGGTGGTTGGTGAGTAGTGGTGGTGGTGGTGAGTAGTGGTGGTGGTGGTGAGTAGTGGTGGTGGTGGTGGTGAGTAGTGGTGGTGGTGGTGAGTAGTGGTGGTGGTGGTGGTGAGTAGTGGTGGTGGTGAGTAGTGGTGGTGGTGAGTAGTGGTGGTGGTGGTGAGTAGTGGTGGTGGTGGTGAGTAGTGGTGGTGGTGGTGAGTAGTGGTTGGTAGTGAGTAGTGGTGGTGGTGGTGAGTAGTGGTGGTGGTGAGTAGTGGTGGTGGTGAGTAGTGGTGGTGAGTAGTGGTGGTGAGTAGTAGTGGTGGTGGTGGTGAGTAGTGGTGGTGGTGGTGAGTAGTAGTGGTGGTGGTGAGTAGTGGTGGTGGTGGTTGTGGTGGTGGTGGTGAGTAGTGGTGGTGAGTAGTGGTGGTGGTGGTTGTGGTGGTGGTGGTGAGTAGTGGTAGTTGTGGTGGTGAGTAGTGGTGAGTAGTGGTGGTGGTGGTTGTGGTGGTGGTGATTAGTGGTGGTGGTGAGTAGTGGTGGTGGTTGTGGTGGTTATTGTGGTGGTTGTGGTGGTGAGTAGTGGTGATGAGTAGTGGTGGTGGTGGTGAGTAGTGGTGGTGGTGAGTAGTGGTGGTGGTTGTGGTGGTGGTGAGTAGTGGTGGTGGTGGTGAGTAGTGGTGCTGGTGAGTAGTGGTGCTGGTGAGTAGTGGTGGTGGTGGTTGTGGTTGTTGTGGTGGTTGTGGTGGTGAGTAGGGGTGGTGAGTAGTGGTGGTGGTGGTGAGTAGTGGTGGTGGTGAGTAGTGGTGGTGGTTGTGGTGGTGGTGAGTAGTGGTGGTGGTGAGTAGTGGTGGTGGTGGTGAGTAGTGGTGGTGAGTAGTGGTGGTGGTGAGTAGTGGTGGTGGTGGTGAGTAGTGGTGGTGGTGGTGAGTAGTGGTGGTGGTGGTGAGTAGCGGTGGTGGTGGTGAGTAGTGGTGGTGGTGGTGAGTAGTAGTGGTGGTGGTGAGTAGCGGTGGTGGTGGTGAGTAGTGGTGGTGGTGGTGAGTAGTAGTGGTGGTGGTGAGTAGTGGTGGTGGTGGTGAGTAGTGGTGGTGGTGGTGAGTAGTGGTGGTTGTGGTGGTGAGTAGTGGTGAGTAGTGGTGGTGGTGGTTGTGGTGGTGGTGAGTAGTGGTGGTGGTGAGTAGTGGTGGTGGTTGTGGTGGTTGTTGTGGTGGTTGTGGTGGTGAGTAGTGGTGATGAGTAGTGGTGGTGGTGGTGAGTAGTGGTGGTGGTGAGTAGTGGTGGTGGTTGTGGTGGTGGTGAGTAGTGGTGGTGAGTAGTGGTGGTGGTGAGTAGTGGTGGTGGTGAGTAGTGGTGGTGGTGGTTGTGGTGGTTGTTGTGGTTGTGGTGGTGAGTAGTGGTGGTGAGTAGTGGTGGTGAGTAGTGGTGGTGACTAGTGGTGGTGGTGAGTAGTGGTGGTGGTTGTAGTGGTGGTGAGTAGTGGTGGTGGTGAGTAGTGGTGGTGGTGGTGAGTAGTGGTGGTGAGTAGTAGTGGTGGTGGTGGTGGTGAGTAGTGGTGGTGAGTAGTGGTGGTGGTGGTGAGTAGTAGTGGTGGTGGTGGTTGTGGTGGTGGTGGTGAGTAGTGGTGGTTGTGGTGTTGTGGTGGTGAGTAGTGGTGAGTGGTTGTGGTGGTGTGTGGTGAGTAGTGGTGGTGGTGAGTAGTGGTGGTGGTTGTGGTGGTTGTTGTGGTGGTTGTGGTGGTGAGTAGTGGTGATGAGTAGTGGTGGTGGTGGTGAGTAGTGGTGGTGGTGAGTAGTGGTGGTGGTTGTGTTGGTGGTGAGTAGTGGTGGTGAGTAGTGGTGGTGGTGAGTAGTGGTGGTGGTGGTTGTGGTGGTTGTTGTGGTGGTTGTGGTGGTGAATAGTGGTGGTGAGTAGTGGTGGTGGTGAGTAGTGGTGGTGGTTGTGGTGGTGGTGAGTAGTGGTGGTTGTGGTGGTGAGTAGTGGTGGTGGTGGTGAGTAGTGGTGGTTGTGGTGGTGAGTAGTGGTGGTAGTGAGTAGTGGTGGTGAGTAGTGGTGGTGGTGAGTAGTGGTGGTGGTGAGTAGTGGTGGTGGTGGTGAGTAGTGGTGGTGGTGGTGAGTAGTAGTGGTGGTGGTGGTGAGTAGTGGTGGTGAGTAGTAGTGGTGGTGGTGAGTAGTGGTGGTGGTGGTTGTGGTGGTGGTGGTGAGTAGTGGTGGTGGTGGTGAGTAGTGGTGGTGGTGGTGGTTGTGGTGGTGGTGGTGAGTAGTGGTAGTTGTGGTGGTGAGTAGTGGTGAGTAGTGGTGGTTGTGGTGGTGGTGAGTAGTGGTGGTGGTGGATGTGGTGGTTGTTGTGGTGGTTGTGGTGGTGAGTAGTGGTGATGAGTAGTGGTGGTGGTGGTGAGTAGTGGTGGTGGTGAGTAGTGGTGGTGGTTGTGGTGGTGGTGAGTAGTGGTGTGGTGGTGAGTAGTGGTGGTGGTGAGTAGTGGTGGTGGTGGTTGTGGTGGTTGTTGTGGTGGTTGTGGTGGTGAGTAGGGGTGGTGAGTAGTGGTGGTGAGTAGTGGTGGTGGTGAGTAGTGGTGGTGGTTGTGGTGGTGGTGAGTAGTGGTGGTGGTGAGTAGTGGTGGTGGTGGTGAGTAGTGGTGGTGAGTAGTGGTGAGTAGTGGTGGTGGTGAGTAGTGGTGGTGGTGGTGAGTAGTGGTGGTGGTGGTGAGTAGTGGTGGTGGTGAGTAGTGGTGGTGGTGGTGGTGAGTAGTGGTGGTGGTGGTGAGTAGTGGTGGTGGTGGTGAGTAGTAGTGGTGGTGGTGAGTAGTGGTGGTGGTGGTTGTGGTGGTGGTGAGTAGTGGTGGTGAGTAGTGGTGAGTAGTGGTTGTGGTGGTGAGTAGTGGTGGTGGTGAGTAGTGGTGGTGGTTGTGGTGGTTGTTGTGGTGGTTGTGGTGGTGAGTAGTGGTGATGAGTAGTGGTGGTGGTGGTGAGTAGTGGTGGTGGTGAGTAGTGGTGGTGGTTGTGGTGGTGGTGAGTAGTGGTGGTGAGTAGTGGTGGTGGTGAGTAGTGGTGGTGGTGGTTGTGGTGGTTGTTGTGGTTGTGGTGGTGAGTAGTGGTGGTGAGTAGTGGTGGTGAGTAGTGGTGGTGGTGGTGGTGAGTAGTGGTGGTGGTGAGTAGTGGTGGTGGTGAGTAGTGGTGGTGGTGGTGAGTAGTGGTGGTGAGTAGTAGTGGTGGTGGTGGTGAGTAGTGGTGGTGAGTAGTGGTGGTGGTGGTGAGTAGTAGTGGTGGTGGTGAGTAGTGGTGGTGGTGGTTGTGGTGGTGGTGGTGAGTAGTGGTGGTTGTGGTGGTGAGTAGTGGTGTAGTAGTGGTGGTGTGGTTGTGGTGTGGTGAGTAGTGGTGGTGTGAGTAGTGGTGGTGGTGTGGTGGTTGTTGTGGTGGTTGTGGTGGTGAGTAGTGGTGATGAGTAGTGGTGGTGGTGGTGAGTAGTGGTGGTGGTGAGTAGTGGTGGTGGTGGTGAGTAGTGGTGGTGGTGGTGAGTAGTGGTGGTGGTGAGTAGTGGTGGTGGTGGTTGTGGGGTTGTTGTGGTGGTTGTGGTGGTGAGTAGTGGTGGTGAGTAGTGGTGGTGGTGAGTAGTGGTGGTGGTTGTGGTGGTGGTGAGTAGTGGTGGTTGTGGTGGTGAGGAGTGGTGGTGGTGAGTAGTGGTGGTGGTGGTTGTGGTGGTTGTTGTGGTGGTTATGGTGGTGAGTAGTTGGTCGGTGGTGGTGGTGAGTGGTGGTGAGTAGTGGTGGTGGTGAGTAGTGGTGGTTGTGGTGGTGGTGAGTAGTGGTGGTGGTGGTTGTGGTGGTGGTTGTGGTGGTAGTGGTGGTTGTGGTGGGTGGTGGTGGTGAGTAGTGGTGGTGGTTGTGGTGGTGAGTAGTGGTGAGTAGTGGTGGTGGTTGTGGTGGGTGTGTTGGTGGTTGTGGTGGTGGTTGTGGTGGTTGTGGTGGTGGTTGTGGTGGTGGTGGTTGTGGTGGTGGGTGTGTTGGTGTTGTGGTGGTTGTGGTGGTGGTGGTTGTGGTTGTGGTGGTGGTTGTGGTGGTTGTGGTTGTGTGGTGGTTGTGGTGGTTGTGGTTGTGGTGGTGGGTGGGTGGTGGTGGTTGGTGGTGGTGGTTGTGGTTGGTGGTGGTGGGGTGGTTGTGGTTGGTGGTGGTGGGTGGTGGGTTGGTGGGTGGTTGTGGTGGTTGGAGGGTGGTGGTGGTGGGTGGTTTGTGGGTGGCTGGTGGGTGGTGGTGGTTGTGGTGGGTGGTTGTGGTTGTTGTGGTGGGTGGGTGGTGGTGGGTGGGTGGTTGTGTTGGTGGGTGGTTGTGGTGGTGGGTGGTGTGGGTGGGTGGTGGTGGGTGGTTGTAGTGGGTGGTGGTGGTGGTGTGGTGGTGGGTGGTTGTGGTGGGTGATGGTGGTTGGTGGGTGGTTTTGTTGGGTGGTTGTGGTGGGTGGTGGTGGGTGGTTTGTGGAGGGTGGTGGTGGGTGGTGGTGGGTGGTGGGTGGTTGTGGGTGGTTGTGGTTGTTGGTTGTGGGTGGTTGGTGGGTGGTGGGTGGTGGTTGGTGGTGGTGGGTGGTTGTGGTTGGTGGTGGTGGTGGTGGGTGGTTGTGGTTGTTGGTGGTGGGTGGTTGGTGGGTGGTGGTTGGTGGTGGTGGGTTGGTGGTTGGTGGTGGTGGGTGGTTGTGGTTGGTGGTGGTGGGTGGTGGTGGTGGTGGTTGTGGTTGGTGGTTGGTGGGTGGTTGTGGTGGGTGGTTTGTGGTGGGTGGAAGTGGTGAGTGGGTGGTTGGTTGGTGGGTGGTGATCTCGCAGTTAATTGCCCACGGGTCGTCGCGGGCTCCAGTTGGTAGCGGCGTCTGTGTACGTGTGTGTGTGTACGTGTGTGTGTGTACGTGTGTGTGTATACGTGTGTGTGTACGTGTGTGTGTATAGGTGTGTGTGTATGTGTGTGTGTACGTGTGTGTGTACGTGTGTGTGTGTACGTGTGTGTGTACGTGTGTGTGTGTACGTGTGTGTGTACGTGTGTGTGTATACGTGTTGTGTGTACGTGTGTGTTGTATACGTGTGTGTGTATGTGTGTGTGTACGTGTGTGTGTATACGTGTGTGTATACGTGTGTGTGTACGTGTGTGTGTATACGTGTGTGTGTACGTGTGTGTGTGTACGTGTGTGTGTACGTGTGTGTACGTGTGTGTGTGTACGTGTGTGTGTATACGTGTGTGTGTATACGTGTGTGTGTATACGTGTGTGTGTATGTGTGTGTGTACGTGTGTGTGTGTACGTGTGTGTATACGTGTGTGTGTGTACGTGTGTGTGTGTACATGTGTGTACCGTGTGTGTGTCTACGTGTGTGTGTATGTGTGTGTGTACGTGTGTGTGTGTACGTGTGGTATACGTGTGTGTGGTACGTATGTGTGTATACGTGTGTGTGTATGTGTGTGTGTACGTGTGTGTGTGTACGTGTGTGTGTGTACGTGTGTGTACGTGTGTATGTGTACGTGTGTGTGTGTGTGTACGTGTGTGTATGTGTGTGTACGTGTGTGTATGTGTGTGTACGTGTGTGTACGTGTGTGTGTATACGTGTGTGTGTACGTGTGTGTGTGTACGTGTGTGTGTGTACGTGTGTGTACGTGTGTGTGTGTACGTGTGTGTGTATACGTGTGTGTGTATACGTGTGTGTGTACGTGTGTGTGTATACGTGTGTGTGTACGTGTGTGTGTGTACGTGTGTGTGTGTACGTGGTGTGTGTACGTGTGTGTGTATACGTGTGTGTGTATGTGTGTGTGTACGTGTGTGTGTACGTGTGTGTGTACGTGTGTGTACGTATGTGTGTATACGTGTGTGTGTATGTGTGTGTGTATGTGTGTGTGTACGTGTGTGTGTGTACGTGTGTGTACGTGTGTGTATGTGTGTGTACGTGTGTGTATGTGTGTGTACGTGTGTGTACGTGTGTACGTGTGTGTGTACGTGTGTGTATGTACGTGTGTGTGCGTGTGTGTACGTGTGTCTGTGTACGTGTGTGTGTGTACGTGTGTGTGTGTATGTGTGTGTACGTGTGTGTACGTGTGTATGTGTACGTGTGTCTTGTGTACGTGTGTATGTGTGTGTGTGTAACCTGTGTGTGTACCTGTGTGTGTGTAACCTGTGTGTGTACCTGTGTGTGTACACCTGCGTGTGTTTACCTGTGTGTGTAACCTGTGTGTAACCTGTGTGTGTATCTGTGTGTGTGTGTGTACCTGTGTGTGTACATGTGTGTGTGTAACTGTGTGTGTGTAACTGTGTCTGTACCTGTGTGTGTACATGTGTGTGTAACTGTGTGTGTAACCTGTGTGTGTGTGTACCTGTGTGTATGTGTAATCTGTGTGTGTGTACCTGTGTGTGTGTGTAATCTGTGTGTGTGTACCTGTGTGTGTGTAATCTGTGTGTGTGTGTACCTGTGTATGTACCTGTGTGTGGGGAGCGGTAGTGTAGCGGTTAGCGCGCTGCGCTATGAACCTGGCGACCCGGGTTCGATTCCCGCTCACGGCCAACACCAGTGACGATTATCTGAACCGGTCCCGGGCCTCCCCTAGGTCGACTCGGCTTCAAATGAGTACCTGGTGCGGTGTGTAAACATTGCGACTGGGGAGACAAAGGCGGTCAAGCGTGGTGATGGCCACCCACCCCCTCGTGTGCCGTGCTGGCCTTCATAGGTGCTCGCTAACAGCACTTGCCCCTACAGTGTTATAGGCTACACGGGGGACCTTTATCTTTGTGTGTGTGTGTGTGTGCAGCACTGGGAAGGTGAGGTTACCATTAGCAGCATCATCATCATCAGCATGAAGTTCACGATCACCATTGTTCGACAGTAAGCGAAGCATCAATCATCGCAATACACGCAGCACATGCAGTACACGCAGCACACTCAGTGCACACAGTACACACAGTACACGAAAGAACACACAATACACACAGCACACAAAGTACACGCAGTACATGCAGTGCACACAGTACACAGTATTCTCAGTACACCCAGTACACGCAGCACACGCAGTACACGCAGTACATGCAGTACACACACACAGTACACACACAGCACACACAGTACATGCAGTACACACAGCACACACAGCACACACAGCACACACAGCACACGCAGTACACGCAGTACACACAGCACACGCAGTACATGCAGTTCATTCTGTATACACAGCACACGCAGTACACACAGTACACGCAGTACACACAGTACACGCAGTACATTCTGTATACAAAGTACACGCAGCACACGCAGTACACACTGCAGTACACACTACAAGTGCGGTACACACATGAAAGTACAGAATAGAGAGAGCGCACATATGGGATGGCATGCAGTACATGCAGTATACACAATAGTACATGCAGTATACACAATAGTATATGCACTATACACAATAGCATATGCACTATACACAACAGTACACGCACTATACACACAGTACATGCTGTATACACAACAGTACATGTACTATACACAACAGTATATGCACTATACACAACAGTACGTGCTGTATATAACAGTACATGCACTATACACAACAGTGCACGCTGTATACACAAAAGTGCATGCACTATACACAATAGTACATGCCGTATACACAACAGTACATGCTGTTTACACAATAGTGCATGCACTATACACAATAGTACATGCACTATACACAATAGCATATGCACTATACACAACAGTGCACGCACTATACACACAGTACATGCTGTATACACAACAGTACATGTACTATACACAACAGTATATGCACTATACACAACAGTACATGCTGTATACACGACAGTGCACGCTGTATACACAACAGTGCACGCTGTGTATACAACAGTACGCGCTGTATACACAACAGTACATGCTGTATACACAACAGTACATGCTGTATACACAATAGTGCATGCACTATACACAATAGTACATGCACTATACACAATAGTATACGCACTATACACAACAGTACATGCTGTATACACACAGTACATGCTGTATATACAACAGTGCACGCACTATACACAACAGTGCATGCAGTATACACAACAGTACACGTATACACAACAGTACATGCTGTGTACACAACAGTACACACACTATACACAACAGTACATGCCGTATACACAACAGTACATGCTGTATACACAATAGTACATGCGCTATACACAATAGTACACGCACTATACACACAGTACATGCTGTATACACAACAGTACACGCACTATACACAACAGTACATGCAGTATACACAACAGTGCATGCTGTGTACACAACAGTACATGTGTAGTGTGTTCTTTTATGGAGACGGAGACGATAAAGTAGAGGCAACACGGTGTGTTTATTTATGTTGTTACAATAACTCTCTTACGCCCCCTGGCCAGGAAGGTACAGCCCTCCGGCTATCCATGACCTAGGGGAGGCTATCCTGACGGACCCTGGTACGGTACTGGTCCGACCACTGACCCGACCACTGGTCCGGCCACTGGTCCAAGCTCGACCCGGCCCTTAGAGCGGCAGCGGGCACCAGGGTCCAGGGTCCTGGTCTAGCTGGCCTTCAGTCTTCGGTCTTCAGCCTTCGGCCTTCAGTCTTCGGCCTTCAGTCTTCAGCCTTCGGCCTTCAGACTTCAGCTGCAACTGCCTCTCACCTCTCCAGAGGTCCTCCTTATATACAGTTTCTATGCCGAGGGGCGGGGCTCTGTGGGATCGTAGAACACCCCACAGCCCCCTCCCCCCCCCCCCAGGCTTGGAATCCTAACGGTTTTTCCCGCCAATTTAGTTGTACCGCCCCTGATGGGCACTGTCCGCCATTGCGGATATTTGCAGCCCATTTAGTTTCCTCTCGCGATTGAGATTGTTTCGATGAAAAAAAACAGAGTATTGTTTCGATGATTAATTTTTTTTATGTGAGGGGGGAGTTGGTGCGTGCTTTCAAACGTCCAACATGATGACGTGTACTGTTGTGTAGACAGCGTGTACTGTTGTGTACACAGCATGTACTGTTGTGTATAGTGCATGTACTGTTGTGTACACAGCATGTACTATTATGTATACAGCATGTACTGTTGTGTATAGTGCATGTGCTGTTGTGTATAGTGCATGTACTGTTGTGTATACAGCATGTACTGTTGTGTATACAGCGTGTACTGTTGTGTATACAGCATGTACTGTTGTGTATACAGCATGTACTGTTGTGTATAGTGCATGTACTGTTGTGTATACAGCATGTACTGTTGTGTATAGTGCATGTGCTGTTGTGTATAGTGCATGTACTGTTGTGTATACAGCATGTACTGTTGTGTATACAGCATGTACTGTTGTGTATACAGCGTGTACTGTTGTGTACACATCATGCACTGTTGTGTACACATCATGTACTGTTGTGTACGGTGCATGTACTGTTGTGTATGGTGCATGTACTGTTGTGTGCACAGCATGTACTGTTGTGTATAGTGCATGTACTGTTGTGTATACAGCATGTACTGTTGTGTATAGTGCATGTACTGGTGTGTACACAGCATGTACTGTTGTGTACACAGCATGTACTGTTGTGTATAGTGCATGTACTGTTGTGTATGGTGCATGCACTGTTGTGTATACAGCATGTACTGTTGTGTATAGTGCATGTATTGTTGTGTACACAGCATGTACTGTTGTGTACACAGCATGTACTGTCGTGTATACAGCATGCACTGTTGTGTATACAGCATGCACTGTTGTGTATACAGCGTGTACTGTTGTGTATAGAGCGTGTACTGTTGTGTATACAGCATGTACTGTTGTGTATAGTGCATGTACTGTTGTGTATAGTGGATGTACTGTTGTGTACACAGCATGTACTGTTGTGCATACAGCATGTAATGTTGTGTATAGTGCATGTACTGTTGTGTACACAGCATGTACTGTTGTGTATACAGCATGTACTGTTGTGTATAGTGCATGTACTGTTGTGTACACAGCATGTACTGTTGTGTACACAGCGTGTACTGTTGAGCGGCTGTCGGTGTTTTTGATGGCCAAGCTCGCTTCTGAAAAAGAGCGCCACGTGGCTTGATGGGACCTGGTGAAATAAAAATAGAAAAAAGGGGGAAACCCTATACAGGTAGATAGTCCCCGTCTTACGTCCGTCCCCGACTTACGTCCATCCCCGACATACGACTGTCCCGACTTACGACCGTCCCCGACTTACGCTATTTCGATCTCACGATGGCGATACGACAAAATTGTTAAATATTTTTAATTTTGCGCGGCAGGCAAACGCAGCAGCGTACGACGAGGTACGACACTGTAGCTTGATCATCGCCATCTCTCCTCTTCCGACAATTAAGTTAATGTAGCCATCAACAACCTAAACATCGTTCAAGTATGCGGACGACGGACAGAATCTTGGTGAGTAACAGTATAATATGATACGTTACGATACGTTCAATGCATGTATGATACGTAGCTTTAGCGATTTCATGTTAGGGTCACCACGATACGTTACGATACGTTCAATGCATGTTAAAACTTTTTTTTTATATAGCAGATAGGATTGTTTCCTGAAAAAAAACTTTATATGAAATTGCAGTTCATATAGGTAGGCTAAGAATTTACCTTGTTTTTTTACTTTAAATTTTACTGTGCAATACAGTATTGTAATTAATAAATACATACAGTATATAGTTTATACAGTACGGTACTGTAAATTGCTCTGTTTTGCTCAATTATCACCATTCTTTAAGACTCTTGGGTAGGCTAGGGCTTTTACATTATGAGACCTCCTTTGCCAGTAACAAGATATAGGAATAGGTTTTACCCTTTTAACTGGCACCAATCAAATTCAAGGACAGTGCATATTATTATCAGAGTTGTCTTTTTTGTTTGCATTTTGACTGCTTGTGGTTATTGCAAACATGATGCCTTGAATAAAGGTGTCAGTTTTTGTGCCAGTTAAAAGGGTAAAACCTATTCCTAGGCTAGGGCTATTTTCGACTTACGATATTTTCCACTTACGATGTGGTCGTCGTAACGCATCTCCGTCGTAAGTCGGGGACTACCTGTAATTACATTTTGGTACTGGCAAAGGAGGTCTAATGATGTAGATGCTCACCCCCGAGCCCTCATTACTTTGATAGTGGCATTGTCTTTGAGCTGTGTGACGCCTTCTGGCGTCATCTGGTCGAGCACCAATTGGGTCGAGGCTCAAAAGAAAGCCGTCCCTTGGTGTGGACCAATCAGATTCAAGAACAATGCATCATATTCTTCTTTGGTTCTTTCGGTAAAGTCACGTAGAATGAGAATAAAATAATATTATAATAATATTATAGTGTTGTGTACACAGCATGTACTGTTGTGTACACAGCATGTACTGTAATAATATTATAATATTAAATAATATTATTTTATTCTCATTCTACGTGACTTTACCGAAAGAACCAAAGAAGATGAATCCTTGCAGTCACGAAAGCTTTAAATCGAAATGCATCATATTATCAGTATGTTTTTTGTTTGCATTTTCAACACAATTATTGTGGTTAATGCAGACATGATTCCTTGTAAGAAGGTTTCAGTTTTGTTGCCAGAAAAAAGGGGGAAACCCCTACTATTATTATGGTTAAAAAAATGTTAACACTTACATGGGACCCATACAAATGATATGATAGATTTATTTTATTTTTCTACCTACGTCAACTTTACCGAAAGAACCAAAGAGTATGGATTCCTGCAGTCACGAAGGCTTCAAATCACGGCTTACACATGGGACTATCGTTCTTAATGGGAAAATAACGGATGATACACTGTAACATAGCACATTGTAACGTTAATTACCTTCAACAGATCAAAGAGTCTCCCGCTTGTTCACGATCGTTGTCAACGCTTCGCCTGGAATTTTCTCCAGGTGGTCTGCAGAGCTCCAGAGGCAGCAGCGCATGTCACGTGGTTGTTGCAAATTCTCTGAAGTGTTAACGTTTTTTTGAAGCAGCCTGTATGCAGTTTTCGGTATTTATTTTTTCGTAATTGACTTAGCTTTCCTGTACTTTGCACTCCCATCGTGCCTCTGTGCGTGTTGTTTGTTGTCGGAACTTTCCGAGCCGCCGCTCACTGGACACTTGAGATTATTTGTATGATTTTGGTGCTATAAATGTTGGCACGATGGGCCACAAAGTTGAGCGGCCATCATGCGTGATGACCAGGTCGCTTCTGACAAACAAGTTAATAGCCTCAGTGGGTCTTTGCCTGGTTAGAGGATGGGAGATGGTATAGTTATAGCTGTTTGTGATTGGGTGTTATGTTTACCGTTATTGTACTTTGCACGACTATCGTGTTAATGTAATGTTTGTTGTTGTAACGATCTTACCCCGTGCCTCTACCTGGACATCTGTGATGAAGAGCTTTATAGCTCATCGGATTCCTCCTGCAATCAAAATATTCTGATCCTGATTCTCTCCGCGTGTCTCTCTGCCTCGCTGCCTGTCTCAAACAATTATTTGTCCATTCTCGCTACATGCCGAGGATACCCACACGTCTGCCTGATTGTCTGTTCACGTACAGCAGTGTCGGTCCCTCTCTCGCTGTCCGCCAATCTGCCTATCTGTCCACGTAGTATGTGTTTACCTTCATGGCTATATATTGTATACTAGCTGTACTACCCGGCTTCGCCCGGGACTTGGATCCACCACGCCCGGCCGCCTTTGTCCCCCCAGTGGCGATGTTCACACACCACACCAGTTACTCGTTTGAGGCTGAGTCGACCTAGGGGAGGCCCAGGAGCAGTTGAAATAATCGTCACCGGTGGTGACCGTGAGCGGCGTAGCGCTAACCACTACACTACAATGCGTTACGCTTCCACGTGCGCGGGTCACATGACAGATTTGACGTCACAGCTCACTTGCCGTGGAAAAAATAAATGCATTATTGAGCCCCCCCCCTCCCCCAAAAGTGTATTTTTATAATTTTTGCATGGCGTACAGTCTGGAAAGTACCCACATGGCAAATTTCAAGTTTGTTGCATGTCGGGAAGTACGCTAAACATTTATTCACAACTTTGCCTTTTATATATATGGAGATGTCTGTCCGCCTGTCTGACCAAAGAGTCTTATCAGCCTTCCCGTCTGTCCACATACTTCTCAATCTGCCTACACGCATATCTGCTTGTCTGCTATATCCTTATTTGTGTATGTTTTACTGTCATGGCGTTGCATGTACATACGTGTCTGCCTTGTCTGACAGTGTCTGTCCGTATCACTCGCAGTATGCCCACCTGCCCGTCTGTCCAACATACAGTAAAACCTTGGATTGCGAGTAACTTGGGTCTGCGAGTGTTTTTCAAGACGAGCAAACATTTTAAATAAATATTAATTTGATAAACGAGCTAGGGTCTTCCAATTACGAGTAGTAGTACGTGTACACGCTTTGTACTGCCGAGCGTCACGTGATCACACAACTGATATACGAGTGCTTTGATATACGAGTGCTTTGGATTACAAACACGTTTCCGGAACGAATTATGCTCCTCGCAATCGAAGGTTTTACTGTATTTGTCTATCTGCCTACATGCAAGCCTGTCTGCCTCACCGCCGGGAGAGTACCTGGTGCGGTGTGTAAACAATCGCCACTGGGGAGACAAAGGCGGCCGGGCGTGGCGCTGTCCGAAACCCCAAACCCCCAGGTGTGCCACAGTGCCGGCCTTCAATAGGTGCTGCTGCTCGCTATCTGCACTTGCCTCAAAGCATCTGTTAAGGCTGTGAGGGTGGATCTTTGCATCTGTAGTGGGGAGCGGTGACGCAGTGGTTATGCTAGCCGAGCTTCTAACCCGGCGGGCCCGAGTTCGATTCCCGCTCGCGGCCAACGCCGCTGACGATTATCACCGAGGTCGACTCGGTCCTCACCGGGGCGATCTTTGTCTTTGTGTCTCTTGCAGTGGCGAGACAACGTACAACAAGAAGCGTCTAATCCAAGGTACGTGGTTTGTAGGCAGTTACCAGGGCAGCTCTGTCGCCGTGATTTTTCATACATATATAAAAGGGAAATTTGTGAATGTGCGTGTCTGTTCGAAATGTTTAGCATACTTACTGACATGCAACAAACTTGAAATTTGGCATGTGGGTAGTTTCCAGACTGTACATAATGCAAAAATTATAAAAATAGATTTTTGTATTTTTTTCTTGGGGGGGGTCGCAATAACGGATATATTTTGCACGACAAGTGAGCGGTGACGTCACATCTGTTATGTCACCCGCATGCAGAAGCGTCACGCAGTGTGCCTGCTGACGTCACGCATCTCCCCCCCCCAACCCTCCGCGTAGGCCCTGTATCAATCCTAGACAAGAATCCAAGTCTCGGGCGAAGCCGGGTAGTCAAGCTAGTTGATTATAAGGAATCTCTGGAAATTAAAGATACACAACCACAGCTTGTCAGTAGAGCTCTCGTGTACACATCTGGGCCTCGTACACGGCTACTGGATAATTAGACGCACCCCACCCACCACCCCACTCCCCACCACCACCACACCACCATATGGGTCTCTAATTATCAGTTGAATCTGCTGCTGCTGCGTTGGCAGTAGTGCACAAGGACAAAAATAACAACACGGTAAAACAAACTCGACACATTTGACACGCAACCCTCTGTCCCCCTCCCCCGCCGCACCTACGATTAGCACGGTTTGGCTACGTACGGTGCGAAAAGGTTCATACATATTTAAACTCACACGGAGACCCATAGACTCATACAGAGACCCATAGACTCGCACAGAGACACATAGACACACAGAGAACCATAGACTCACACAGAGACCCATAGACTCACACAGAGACCCATAGACTTGCACAGAGGCCCATAGACTCACACAGAGTCCCATAGACTCACACAGGGACCTATAGACTCACACAGAGACCCATAGACTCACACAGAGACCCATAGACTCATACAGAGACACAGACTTACTCAGAGACACATAGACTCATACAGAGACCCATAGACTCACACAGAGACCCATAAACTCACACAGAGACCCATAGACTCACACAGAGACCCATAGACTCACACAGAGACCCATAGACTCACACAGAGACCCATAAACTCATACAGAGACACAGACTTACTCAGAGACACATAGACTCATACAGAGACCCATAGACTCACACAGAGACCCATAGACTCACACAGAGACCCATAGACTCACACAGAGACCCATAGACTCACACAGAGACCCACAGACTCACACAGAGACCCACAGTTTATTGTCGTTTGGCCTCGCATGGTGCGAACGAAGTTCAACACATACATATACATACACACATACAAGGGGTGACATTCCAGGCAACGGCCATTAACGGCCCATAAAACTTCATGGCATTTATGCGCTAGGAAGAGGGAACCACTGCTCAAAACGTCGCCGATTTAACATACGTTTGATCCTTTTCAGGCTGCACACACGCACGCACGCGCGGCGGTGTTATCGGCACACACGTCAAGAGATTTTAAACAAAACCGCCGCGCCGGTAATTGAAAGTTGTATTTACAAAAAAACATTAAAATCGCTCGCTCGCTCGCCACCGGCCTTCCTTGCAGCCTCCCCCCCCCGCCCATCCCTAGACGCCGATGACGGCTGTGGATAAAAGTCATCCGCTAAGAATATCCCCACTCGGGCTTGGGACGACGTGGCCTGGGTGGTGGTGGTGGTGGTGGTGCCGCCGCGGTGTCGTGTTTACAGCAGCTTGGATACCACCCCCCCCCCCCCCAGAGGGCTCGGAATAGAAGGAGCGGTGGGTGGGGGGGGGGCGAAATCGGTGAGGAGGGGGGAATTGAGCTGGTTGTGTGGGGGAGTTGAGTGGGGGGGGGGAGTTGAGGGGGGTGGGGGGGGAGTTGAGTGGGGGGGGGAGTTGTTTGGGGGGGGGGAGTTGAGTGGCGTGGGGGGGGAGTTGAGTGGGGTGGGGGGGGTGAGTGAGTTGGGGGTGAGTGGGGTGGGGAGTTGAGTGGCGTGGGGGGGGGAGTTGAGTGGGGGGGAGTTGAGTGGGGTGGGGGGGAGTTGAGTGGGGTGGGGGGAGTTGAGTGGCGTGGGGGGGGGGAGTTGAGTGGGGGGGGAGTTGAGTGGGGTAAGGGGGAGCGAGTTGGGGGAGGTTTGGGATGTGGAGGGGGAGCTGGGTGGAGGGGTGGGAGGGAGTTGGGTGGGGGGGTAGAGAGTTAGGGAGGTGGGGAGTTGGGGGGGGTGGGGAGTTGGTGGATGAGTTGGTGGGGGAGGAGTTGGGGATGGGGGGGGAGAGAAGGGGAGGGCGTTACTGAGGTTCTCCATAAATGACGTCACGCACCTGGGGGGGGGGTTAGACATTTGTGACGATGTGTGACGAGGGGGGGGGGGGGTGAGAAATGTGACGTCACATCAAAATGCGCAACTTTAAATAAATATCGACAACACGTTCTCCTTAATTAAATAGACTTTCTAATAAATGTTTTCTACCTACAACATCAGAGTGCAGCGCCACATTAAATACGCACTGCAATGACAATAGTTTAAAGCGATTTGAAGCATGTTTTTTTGTTCAAAATGGAAATATGGTTTTGGGGGGGGGGGGCAGAGCTTTGTGACGTCATATTTGAGGGTTAGGGGGGTCTGACTTTTTGTGACGCCGTGTGACGAGGGGGGGGGGGAGTCAAAAATCGTCCAAAATCGCGTGACGTCATTTATGGACGGCCCCTTTCCCCCGAGCATAAGCCAAGGTGGCTTCTTTCCGTGGGTTTGGGTGCTTGACCGCTGAGCGGCGATGTCCACGATTGGCGGTGCAGACGATGATACTATTGATGAATTATCACGATATAAATGATGGTGATAATTGCCAAGTTTTAGTTTCACATGCAGTAGGGCTTCCGCGACGCAGTATTATCCATAATACAGGGACTCCGCTGCTTACGAACGAGTTATGTTCCATAGGTCTGTAAGTCGAATTGTTCCCGAGTCAACTTTACTCCTGTCGATTTCAAACACGTACGGCGTGCACACTAAACACGGGAAATGGCTTTAAAAGTCGTACAATTACCTGCGGGTGTAAATGCCACCGGTTCTTCATGTTCTGCAGACGTAGACGCCACTGGTTCTTGGTTCTATTATTGTTTTTGGTTTTTATTTTTCTACCTCACGTGACTTTACCGAAAGAACCAAAGAGCGTGAATGTTGCACGTTTCCTCTTCTCCAAGCACACACCGGTGGTGTGTTTCACGAGTAAACACACGACACTTACAATTCGGGTACCGAATCGATTAGCACAATTGGCATTCGCGTCATCCTTGATAGCGTGAGGCTATGTCGCGAATAGGCACGCCGGGCGTTTTACACGCTGGGCGTTTTACACGCCCTGGGCGTTTTACACGCCGCGTTTTACACGCCGAGTTTTACACGCCGAGTTTTACACGCCGCGTTTTACGCGCCGTGTTTTACACGCCGGGCGTGCTCTGCAAGCAGGCGGCGGCGGTGGCGGCGGCGATGTTGCTTTGATCCAAACGAGTCATTTTTGCGACCAATTTTTTTTCCACAAAATTTGTGCCAATGTCAGGCCGTGATGTCAACAAACGTGGCCTGCTTTTTTTTTCATTTTAACGACGTCACGGGATGGTTTTACGTGCGCGTGGTACGTTATGGATTACGCCGCAGTATTAACCGCCAGAAGTGGTTAAGGGGCCGTCCATAAATGACGTCACGCACCTGGGGGGGGGGGGTCAAGCATTCGTGACGATATGTGACGACGGGGGGGGGGGGGGGGGTTTGAGAAATGTGACGTCACATCAAAATGCTTTAAATAAATAGTGCAGCACCACATTAAATACGCAATACAATGGCAATAGTTTAAAGCGATTTGAAGCATGGTTTATATTTTTTTTGGGGGGGGCGGGGCATAGCTTTGTGACGTCATACTTGGGGGGGGTGTGACTTTTTGTGACGTCGTGTGGTGAAGGGGGAGGGGGGGTCAAAAATCGTCCAAAATCGCGTGACGTCATTTATGGACGGCCCCTAAAACCTATTATTTATTTCTTCCCCCATCACAGTCTTGTCCACCTTCACAATGACAACAAGAGTCCGCTCAAAGGCTTACACGGTTGGGGGATCTCTGCCTTGTTGATGGTGCAGGCCAGGGCATCAACATGCCCCTATCGGACGTGGGCTTCGAGCAAGCGGCAGCTGTCGGTGCTGCCCTGCAGCACGTCCCCTTCGCCTACGTCTACAGCAGTGACCAGCTGCGGGCACAGCAGGTGAGCCGGGTGGGGCTGTGGTGGGGTTGGGTGGGGTTGGAGGTGGGGGGTGGGGTGGGGTTGGAGGTGGGATTGGGTGGGGTGGGGTGGGGTTGGAGGCGGGGGGTGGGTGGGGTGGGGTTGGAGGCGGGGGGTTAGGTGGGGTGGGGTTGGAGGTGGGATTGGGTGGGGGTGCGGTGGGATTGGGTGGGTTGGGTGGGGTTGGAGGTGGGGGTTGGGTGGGGTTGGAGGCGGGGGTTGGGTGGGGTTGGAGGCGGGGGTTGGGTGGGGTGAGGTTGGAGGCGGGGGTTGGGTGGGGTGGGGTTGGAGGCGGGGGTTGGGTGGGGTGGGGTTGGAGGCGGGGGTTGGGTGGGGTGGGGTTGGAGGCGGGGGTTGGGTGGGGTGGGGTTGGAGGCGGGGGGTTAGGTGGGGTGGGGTTGGAGGTGGGATTGGGTGGGGGTGCGGTGGGATTGGGTGGGTTGGGTGGGGTTGGAGGTGGGGGTTGGGTGGGGTTGGAGGCGGGGGTTGGGTGGGGTTGGAGGCGGGGGTTGGGTGGGGTGAGGTTGGAGGCGGGGGTTGGGTGGGGTGGGGTTGGAGGCGGGGGGTTGGGTGGGGTGGGGTTGGAGGCGGGGGTTGGGTGGGGTGGGGTTGGAGGCGGGGGTTGGGTGGGGTGGGGTTGGAGGCGGGGGTTGGGTGGGGGGGGGTTGAAGATGGGATTGGGTGGGGGTGCGGTGGGATTGTGTGGAGTGGGGTTTGAGGTGCGGTGGGGTGGGGTTGGGGTGGTGTTGGGGTGAGTTTGGGGTGATGGGGTGAGGGTGGGGTGGGGGGTGGGGTTGGAGGTGGGTGGGGATGTCCTCCTGCACCGCCGATTAGCACGGTTGGCTTACATATAGTGCTAAATAAAATCAACATACGTGGGGGTGGGGTGGAGGTGGGGGTGGCTTGGAGGTGGAGGGGGGCCTTTCCCCCTCACCTCTGATTATCACGGTGGCTACGTACGGTGCCAAAGAAGTTCAACGTACATACAGCTCTCCCGTCGGCATCCGTACCTGCTCGTAAAATAGTTCTAAACACAAACGCACCTAAAATAGTTACCACACAATCCAATGCGTAGGCATGGTTTTTCTTACTCACAAATCATAGACCGAACCCAGTTGCCCTTTCCATAGGGCTCCCTGGGCCCAGGGGTGACCAGAGCCATGCAGAGCAACGTCGCCATCAGACCATCACGGTCGGCGCCACGGTGGTTAGACGTGAACTACCTCGCATGGTACACAGGAGGATTGTGGGTTCGATCCCAACCCCGATACCTGTATATTTGGACTTTGCACGTCTCTCTCTCCCCGTGGTCACGTGGAATTTTCTCCGGATCCTCCGGTTTTTTTTCCCTCCACGCTTACAAACAAGCGTTTTAGAGCATTTGGCTGCTTTAAATTTCCACACGATCAGCCAAACTTTGTTGAGCTATAATTTGTGGCCAGGTCGCTTCTGCAAAAGAGCTTACGTAGCTCAGTGGGGCCTTACCTGGTAAAAAAAAAAATTGTTTTAGTTTATTTCTCAACGGGACAACTGCCTCTGCCGCCGCCGCCGCCGCGTGTTGCTGTCTGTGATCCCCGTCCGTCACGTGGCTCGTGGTTTAGACGGCGGAGGAGATAGTGAAGCGGAACCATCACTGCCGGGACCGGCCGCTGCAGCGCGAGGAGCGCCTGCGCGAGAGGGCAAGTTTCCCTGCCGCCACCGCCACCGCCGCCGCCTCCGTGCCGCGCCAAATTCCGGCGACGAAATTATTCGCCGAAAATATTCGCCTCTCCAAGTAGAACCTTTCCCTTTTTTCTCGTCGTCGCGATGTAATCGCACGGGTTCGCAAGTTTGGCGGAGGTGACGGTCTCAGCCCCGGTCATCGGTGGCTTACACTGAGAACGACAACAATGATCATTGAGGTTTATCCGTAGACCGTGCTGTGATAAAACCTGGCTCGCAAGTTTAGCGGGTTTTATGGTGACTTACACAGAGACCCATCGACTCGCGTAGAGTCCCATGTATTCACATAGAGACCCATATTCATCGAGACACATGGACTCGTACAGACATCTGTAGACCTATGTCGAGACCCATAGACTTACACAGACTATGATTAAACTGGAATGTAAGAGAGTTGATGGCTCCAGCCCGGTCACCAGTGAGAGACACCCAGTCCAACCACCTCAAGTTTGTTGTCCTTGAACCCCCTCCACCCCACGAGTGATTTAGGGAGAGACACCCAGACCCAGGACTCGAACCCACGCCCTCGGCGTTGCTGGTTCCGTGTGTCTACGTGCCGGTGTGATTCCGCATGTGTGTGTGTGCACGTGCGTGTGTGTGCATTGGGGAGCAGTAGCGTAGCGCTACGAACCCGGCAACCCGGGTTCGATTCCCGCTCACGGCCACCAATGACAGTGACTAATATCTGAACCAGCCCTGTGCCTCACCTAGGTCCACTCAAATGTGTACCTGGTGCGATGTGTAGTAAACATCGTCACTGGCGAGACAAAGGCGGTCGGGCGTGGTGCTGGCCACCCACCCCATCGTGTACCGTTCCGGCCTCTGTAGGTGCTGCTACTCGCTGGCAACAACGTGCCCCAACAGTCTGTTAAAGGCTGCACGGGGGTGGATCTTTCTCTTTGTGCAGTCCTTCGGAGCGTCGGAGGGCTGCAGCGTGGATCAGCTCCGAGCCCTGGCCAAGGAGGCCGGGCAGCGGTGTCCCCACTTCACGCCGCCCGGGGGAGAGACTCTGGAGCAGGTGAGGGGGGGCACCTCCATGCAGTGTCACCGAACTGCCGGCTGGCCCGTCGCCACGGCTACGTAGCCGTGGCGACGAGTCGCCCCAGACCCGGGGCTCGAACCTGGGATCTCAGCGGTGCGAGATTTTAACCGCCTCGCCTGGTATGCAGGAGATCGTGGGTTCGATCCCGTCCCTGATTCCTGCTGCTCTATATTTGGCGTTTGCGTGTCTCTCTCATCACCATCACGGTGGCTAGGAGATGTTAACTACCTCGCCTGGTATGCAGGAGATCGTGGGTTCGATCCCGTCCCTGACGCCTGCTGCTCTATATTTGGCATTTGCGTGTCTCTCTCATCACCATCACGGTGCCTAGGAGATGTTAACTACCTCGCCTGGTATGCAGGAGATCGTGGGTTCGATCCCGTCCCTGACGCCCGCTGCTGCTGCTGTATATTTGGAGTTTGCGTGTCTCTCTCATCACCATCACGGTGGCTAGGAGATGTTAACTACCTCGCCTGGTATGCAGGAGATCGTGGGTTCGATCCCGTCCCTGACGCCCGCTGCTGCTGCTGTATATTTGGAGTTTGCGTGTCTCCCCGTCGTTGCGTGGATTTTTCACCAGGTCCTCCAGTTTTTCCCTCGACATTCACAAACACGCGTTTAGAGTGTTTGGCTGCTCTAAATGTCCACGTGTTTATAAGTCGCTTCGTTTAGCTATCATCTGTGACTGCCAGCTAGCGTCTGGGGCCATACCTGGTGAAATAAAAAGTTTTTAGTCTCCAACAAGGCCAATGTGACCCCACCCCCCCCCCACCCCCCATGCTATGCACCCGGCGACCCGAGATCGATTCCCACTCGCGGCCAACATCAGTGGCAAATATCTGAACTGCTGCTGGGCCCTCACTCTTGGGGTCATGCCGCACTCGCTAACGGCACTTGCCCCCACCAGCAGCAGCAGCCTGTTAAGAGACTACACGGGGGCGACCTTTGTATTTTTCTTTGGTTCGTCACCGCAGCTCAAGACGCGGCTGGTGGATTTCTTCCTCGAGCTCTGCTCGCTGATAGCCTCCCGGCGCGCGGAGACGTGCAACGGCATCAAGCCCTCGGCATGCCGGGCAGGTACGGCCACAGGCACACGCGGCATAGCCACCGCCACCACTGCCACCACCACTGCCATCACCTTGGTAGTGGCGGTAGTGGCGGTGGTAACGGTGATGTTGGTGATATTGGGGGAGCAGCGATGTGGCGGTCAGCGCTACGCTGCTGCGCTACGAACCCGGCGACCCGAGTTGGATTCCCGCTCACGGCCACCAACACCGGTGACGATTATCTATACCGGTCCTGGTTCCTCCCCTAGGTCGACTCGGCCTCAAATGCGCATCTGGTGTACTGTGTAAACATCGTCACTGGGGAGACAAAGGTGGCCCAGCGTGGTGCTGGCCACCCACCGCCTCGTGCGCCGTGCCGGCCTTCATAGGTGCTTGCTAACAGCACTTGCCCCAACAGTCTGTTACAGGCTATGAGAGAGGTCTTTGCCTTCATTGTTAGTGGTGGTGATGATGATGGTAATAGTGATGGTAACGGCAGTAAAGGTAGTGGTTGATGGTAGTGATAATAATCATTGTTGATATACTTGTTTACCCAGGAAAGCCTCACGGGGGTCTCATGACTGTGCTCGGTATTTATAGCAGCGGGCGACCGTGAGAGAGTTCGTTGTATATTTGGAGTTTGCATTTTCTCTTTCTCTCATCATCATCATCATCACCACGGTGGCTAGGAGATGTTAACTACCTCGCCTGGTATACAGGAGGTCGTGGGTTCAATCCCGACCCTGACACCTGTTGTATATTTGGAGTTTGCATTTTCTCTTTCTCTCATCATCATCACGGTGGCTAGGAGATGTTAACTACCTCGCCTGGTATACAGGAGGTCATGGGTTCGATCACGACCCTGACACTTGTTGTATATTTGGAGTTTGCATTTTCTCTTTCTGTTATCATCACGGTGGCTAGGAGATGTTGACTACCTCGCCTGGTATACAGGAGGTTGTGGGTTCAATCCCGACTCTGACACCTGTTGTATATTTGGAGTTGTCATTTTCTCTTTCTCTCATCATCATCATCATCATCACGGTGGCTAGGAGATGTTAACTACCTCGCCTGGTATACAGGAGGTAGTGGGTTCGATCCCGACCCTAACCCCTGCTGTATATTTGGAGTTTGTGCGTTCTCGTTCTCTCCGTGGTCATGCATTTTTCTCCGGGTCTTCCGGTTTTTCCCCCTCCACATTAAGAATCAAAATCACGCGTTTTAGAGTATTTGGCTGCTATAAATGTCCCACACGATGACGATAAGCCACTTGTGATAGCCAGGCCGCTCCTGCAAAAACAGCTACAGTGAGGGAAACAAGTATTTGATCCCCTGCTGATTTTGTACGTTTGCCCACTGACAAATAAATTATCAGTCTATAATTTTAATGGTAGGTTTATTTGAACAGTGAGAGACAGAATAACAACAAAAATCCAGAAAAACGCATGTCAAAAATGTTATAAATTGATTTGCATTTTGATGAGGGAAATAAGTATTTGACCCCCTCTCAATCAGAAAGATTTCTGGCTCCCAAGTGTCTTTTATACAGGTAACGAGTTGAGATTAGGAGCACACTCTTAAAGGGAGTGCTCCTAATCTCAGCTTGTTACCTCTATAAAAGGCACCTGTCCACAGAAGCAATCAATCAATCAGATTCCAAACTCACCATGGCCAAGACCAAAGAGCTCTCCAAGGATGTCAGGGACAAGATTGTAGACCTACACAAGGCTGGAATGGACTACAAGACCATTGCCAAGCAGCTTGGTGAGAAGGTGACAACAGTTGGTGCGATTATTCGCAAATGGAAGAAACACAAAAGAACTGTCAGTCTCCCTCGGCCTGGGGCTCCATGCAAGATCTCACCTCGTCGAGTTGCAATGATCATGAGAACGGTGAGGAATCAGCCCAGAACTACACGGGAGGATCTTGTCAATGATCTAAAGGCAGCTGGGACCATAGTCACCAAGAAAACAATTGGTAACACACTATGCCGTGAAGGACTGAAATCCTGCAGCGCCCGCAAGGTCCCCCTGCTCAAGAAAGCACATATGCATGCCCGTCTGAAGTTTGCCAATGAACATCTGAATGATTCAGAGGACAACTGGGTGAAAGTGTTGTGGTCAGATGAGACCAAAATGGAGCTCTTTGACATCAACTCAACTCGCCGTGTTTGGAGGAGGAGGAATCTGCCTATGATCCGAAGAACACCATCCCCACCATCAAACATGGAGGTGGAAACAATATGCTTTGGGGGTGTTTTTCTGCTAAGGGGACAGGACAACTTCACCGCATCATAGGGACGATGGACGGGGCCATGTACTGTCGAATCTTTGGTGAGAACCTCCTTCCCTCAGCCAGGGCATTGAAAATGGGTCGTGGATGGGTATTCCAGCATGACAATGACCCAAAACACACGGCCAAGGCAAAAAGGAGTGGCTCAAGAAGAAGCACATTAAGGTCCTGGAGTGGCCTAGCCAGTCTCCAGACCTTAATCCCATAGAAAATCTGGAGGGAGCTGAAGGTTCGAGTTGCCAAACGTCAGCCTCGAAACCTTAATGACTTGGAGAAGATCTGCAAAGAGGAGTGGGACAATATCCCTCTTGAGATGTGTGCAAACCTGGTGGCCAACTACAAGAAACGTCTAAACTCTGTGATTGCCAACAAGGGTTTTGCCACCAAGTACTAAGTCATGTTTTGCAGAGGGGTCAAACACTTATTTCCCTCATTAAAATGCAAATCAATTTATAACATTTTTGACATGCGTTTTTCTGGATTTTTTTTGTTATTCTGTCTCTCACCGTTCAAATAAACCTACCATTAAAATTACAGACTGACCATGTCTTTGTCAGTGGGCAAACGTACAAAATCAGCAGGGGATCAAATACTTTTTTTCCCCTCACTGTACGTAGCTCAGTGGGGCCTCACCTGGTGACAATAAAAAACGGTTTACTTGAGGTGGTATCCATGCTGGCGCTGGCCATCATGCTCGCAACCTTCAGTTCCGTCACCCGAACACGTTCCCCCACCACCATTGGAAACCTCATTTGCCAGTAACAAAATATGATAATTGTTTTTTTTACCCTTTTATCTGGCAACAAAACTGACACCTTTTTTACAAGGAGTCATGTTTGCATTGACCGCAATACCTGCGGTCGGAACGCAAACAAAAAACAACAACCCTGATAATGTATGCACTGTCCTTGAAATTAATTGGTCCACACCCAATTATCATATTTTGTTACTGACAAATGAGGTTTCCAATGGTGTAAATGCTTACCCCGAGCTCTCATACTCTGATGGTGCATTGTCTTTGAGTTGTGCGCCTTTTGGCGTCTTCTGTTCCAACACCATGTGAGACTAGGCTCTAAAGAAAGCTATCTTGGGTGTGGACCAATCAATTTCAAGGACAGTGCATACATTATCAGAGTTGTTTTTTTATTTGCGTTCCGACCGCAGGTATTGCGGTCAATGTAAACATGACTCCTTCTAAAAAAAGGTGTCAGTTTTGTTGCCAGATAAAAGGGTAAAAAAAAACAATTATCACGTTCCCCCACCCCCCACCGCCCCCTCCCCCGAACCCAGAAAGCGACACCGCAACCGCCGCGGTGGACTCTGCGGCGGACGTTCTGGTAGTCACCCACGGCGGACTCATCCGCGAGTGGATTCGCTACCTCACCGAGGACCTGGGCTGCCCCGTGCCCGCCGAGTGGCGGCAGCGGCTGCTGGTCGTGTCGCCCAACACGGGGGTATCGCGCTTCCTCGTCTCGCTGCCCGACGGCGCCGACGGCGCCGACGGCGCCGACGGCGCCGATGGCGGCCCGCTCCCCACCACCGTGCAGTGCCTGCAGCTGCACAGCAGCTCCCACCTCGCCCCGGCGAAGGTGCAGCCGCCCCCGGCGATGTAAAGTAAAAAAAAGAATCGAGTTGAACTGCGGGTCAAACCCGCTTCACACGCTCGCCCCCCCCCACCCCCGCCCGCAACCAGAGCACTAGCGTATAAAGGTCACGATCTATCTAGGGCAGGCAATGACGGGCAACCGAGAACGAGTCGGTGGGCCGCGTGAATGGGTCCCTCCGTCAGCTTAGTGGGCTCGCGAGTGTAACATCGTGACCCCCCCACGCTTAACCCTAGACGCACCGAGACCAGGCCACCACGCAGCCCATGGGCAGCAGGTTGCCCACCAATGATCTAAGGGCAGCTGCTGGAAGCCGTCGCCAAGCAGTGCATCGATCACGATCCGCTTCGGCAACGGTTTGGGGACGCTGCGGTAACCGTCGCCGGCGACGGTCGCCACTTGTTACGTCGCCGAAATTTAACTGAAACTCTCAAATCACAAACAACGGTTTTGCTGCCTTGCGATGAAAATTTCACTCTGCGGCAGAGTGCGTGGGTTTGGCGCTGCCTCCCGCCACCACCCGAGCGTGTGGTTAAAAACGCGTCACTTGAAGGAGTTGTGTGGGTGCCGAGGTGGTGAGATGTTAACTACCTCGCCTGCGAAACAGGAGGGTCGTGGGTTCGATCCCGACCGCCACGCCTGTACATTTGGCGTTTTCTCTCTCTCCCCACGTGGTCGCGTGGATTTTTCTCCGGGCTCGCCTGTTTTTTTCCCTCCACATTTAGAATCAACATGCGTTTAGAGTATTTGGCTGCTATTGTAAATTTCCACGTGATAAGCCACTTCGTTGAGAATATCATTTGTGGGGCCAGGTCGCTTCTAAAAAAAATGCTATGTAGCTCAGTGGGCCTTACTTAGTAAAATAAAAAAAAATCTTGGTTTTGGTTTTAATATCTGCATCTGCGGGGCTGTTCTCTAACACGGGCTGGTGAACTGCTTTCCACATGGACAGCAGTTGGCAAAACATTTGGAACACGTAGTAGGCTTTCGCAACCAATATTATCCATAACGAGGTTTTTCTTGGTTGAGATCACGTAAATATAAATGTGTCGTTAAACCCGCCGCCACCACCACCCGACACAGCCACTCGAATTGTAAATGTTGTAGTGGGTTTACTCTCTAACACACAAGCGGTGATTGTGAATGTTGTAGTGGGTTTACTCTCTGACACACAAGCGGTGATTGTGAATGTTGTAGTGGGTTTACTCTCTAACACAAGCGGTGATTGTGAATGTTGTAGTGGGGTTTACTCTCTCACACACAAGCGGTGATTGTGAATGTTGTAGTGGGTTTACTCTCTAACACACAAGCGGTGATTGTGAATGTTGTAGCGGGTTTACTAACACACAAGCGGTGATTGTGAATGTTGTAGTGGGTTTACTCTCTAACACACAAGCGGTGATTGTGAATGTTGTAGTGGGGTTTACTCTCTAACACACAAAGCGGTGATTGTTAATGTTGTAGTGGGTTTACACTCTAACACACAAGCGGTGATTGTGAATGTTGTAGTGGGTTTACTCTCCAACACACAAGCGGTGATTATGAATGTTGTAGTGGGTTTACTCTCTAACACACAAGCGGTGATTGTGAATGTTGTAGTGGGTTTAATCTCTAACACACAAGCGGTGATTGTGAATGTTGTAGCGGGTTTACTCTCTAACACACAAGCGGTGATTGTGAATGTTGTAGTGGGTTTACTCTCTAACACACAAGCGGTGATTGTGAATGTTGTAGCGGGTTTACTCTCTAACACACAAGTGGTGATTGTGAATTTTGTTATGGGTTTACTCTCTAACACACAAGCGGTGATTGTGAATGTTGTAGTGGGGTTTACTCTCTAACACACAAAGCGGTGATTGTTAATGTTGTAGTGGGTTTACACTCTAACACACAAGCGGTGATTGTGAATGTTGTAGTGGGTTTACTCTCTTAACACACAAGCGGCGTGGTGCTGAAACTAGTAACGGATTGGCACGTTTTGTTTTACGTGACGCAACCTTTACTCATTGGCTGTGTCGGATGGTGGCAGGTTTTAACGACACAAAATGTATATTTACGCGACCTAACCCCAAACCAAAACGCCTCTTAAATCCATTTTGGTACCTTGAATCGGTTCGGATCAAAAACCCTGCAGCCACAACCACAGAGGGTTTGCCGGATTCTTCCACACTTGAAAGAGAGTCTCTCCTCTAAACAAAGCAACCCCCTATCGTATCCGGGCTACATTCGCCTTCGTGAGACGTCAGTGGCCTTGACTGGCTCTGCAGGCGACGCTGGAGACTATGTAAATCGCAGAAACCGCCCTATATATTTATACGTATATATGTGAGGCACATGGGCACGACAGTGCATGCATACGGGCAGGGCTGTTAAAAGGCGAGGCTCAAGACTTAAAACTTATTTGGCGATGTGGTTTCGCCGGCACCTTGATTACCAGCAACCTCTTCGCCACTCGACGTTCGTGACGGGGTTTTGCTCGCCCCTGCGTCGCTGGGGGGGGGCCCTCGTCAACGGCGAGGAGGTAACCGTGATGTTCGGAGTGACGAGCCGTGACAACGCTGCACTGCGCGGCACACTCCTGTGAACGTACCCTGAGGGAGAGGTTACCTCGCTCTATTTCTGCCTCTCTCTCGAGAGAGAGGGGGGGGGGAGAGAGCGGGCATCACTCGCAGAGTCTCTGAAATCTGTGCAATATCGGCCGGTAGAAATCGACGATCACACGACCAGCAGTGGCAGCGTCTTCCCCCCACGTGCCATTGCTCAGCCCCCGCCCCCCCCCCCCCCCCCCGAATCCTGGGCGCGTGCACACCCCCACGACATCTGGGAATTCGTATGCGCTCGCGATGCGCGCGCCGGACGAGAATAAGCGAATTCCCATTTCGCGCGTGCAAATTACGCGACCGCAGATCCCCGTCGGTGTGACACAAGGTGTTGGCAATAGAGGGGGCAACTGAGAGATATCTGAAAGTCGGACCTCAAAAAAGGCAAATAGCCTAAGAAGTTGCTTAGACGGAATGGTTGCTGGCTTAACACGAGTCTGGAAGCCCGCTTTGGCTGAAAGACTTGAAAATATTGATTTAAAGCTTTCGTGACTGCAGGGATTCATATTCTTGGTTCTTTCGGTAAAGTCACGTAGAAGGGAAACAATAAAATAAAAAAATATTGTTGTGGTTTCCACACCTGATGATGATTGCTTGTGTTGCAGTCGAAACGTCGTAAGAATTTTGTTTTATATTTTTATTATTTAATTGTTTCCCTTCTACGTGACTTTACCGAAAGAACCAAGAATACTTGAAAATGTGTTTTTGTTATTTCTATGCGAACCTCCGCAAGTAGGCATTTATTGTTGTTGACGCTGTTGCTGGATGTTGACGCTGTTGCTGGATCTTGGCGCTGTTGCTGGATCTTGGCGCTGTCGGACGGTTGGGCATTCGCTGTTTTTAAGTGGAGGTTCAAGCTTCAAATCCCATCCCCCCCCCCTCCCCCCGATTATTTACCGGGGGCCATGCGGGAGGGGAACCATAAGAATTACGGCTCTCAGACGCCGAGTTCCATTCACCGGCTGCCACTCCATTAGTCTTCACCATCGACCATCCCACACCTCCGATTAGCAACGGTTGGCTATGTACTATTCAACATACACACACACACTCGCTTCCCCTAATAGGGTGAATGATTTAACATGTAGGCTTTCGCGACCAATATCATCCACAATACAGGTTTTTTTTTGGGTTAAAATGTGTCGTGAAACTCACCACCACCCGACAAAGCCAATTATCCAGGTTTCTCGCGTAAACAGAACATGCCAATTCGTTACTCGTACAGCATCACCGGTGTGTTGTAGAGCCCGAGCCCAAACATTTACAATCCGAGTACGATGTTTCGCCAGTGATTGCAACCAGCTTCATCAGGCAACTGGCTGTGTCGCCTGATGAAGCTAGTCTGGAGTTTATGAAGGTATTTTCTGCACTGTCTAAAACAAAAAAAGTTTGTCTTTGCCGTTTTCGTTTGAAAATTATTTATTTAATGTTTTGAGCATGTGGTGTTGACGACGACGTTGATGATGGCCTGTCAATTAAATATTTTGAGAGGATAAAACCCTCCGGGGGGTGTCCGTTGGCCGAGTTTGTTGCCGAGTGTTCCGGTTCATCATGGCTTCCGCTTTGCCACGGAGAGGTCTCTCTTTGAAGAGGAGGGAGACGCAGCCCGCAGGAAGCCACCGCCTCCTGGCATTGTAGACGCACGTTCACATCCCCAGCACAGGCAGGTTGCCGTGCGTCGATCGATCCATTTCGGTTTGCCAATTCATTCGAGTCGATTCTTACATTCGCGATACACCCGTGGAACATCGCGTGCCGAGGAATCGACGCCGCCTGCGTCGCACGTGGTTCCAAACCTCCAATTGACTACGCACGTCGCGAAAGAAGTTCAACATACATAACACAAACTAAACTAGAGTTGTGTAGCTCTTTTTCAGGAGCGACTTGACCACGAATGATAGCTCAACGAAGTGGCTTATCATCAACGTGGACATTTATGGCAGCAGCCAAATAATCTAAACTCAGGTTTGGTTCTAAAAGTGAAAGGAAAAACCGGAGGACCCGGAGAAAAAATCCACGGGTCGAGAGATCCATAAACTCCAAATGTACGACGGGCGTCGGGGGCGGGATCGAATCCACAGCCTCCTGCATACCAGGTGAGGGAGGTCGTATTTTTGTGTTTAGTTGTCCGTTCCTCCAGACCTCCGATTAGATACGGTTGGCTACGTACGGTATGAAAGAAGTTCAACGTACATTGTTTCGTTTTTTTGTCCTTCCCACACCTCCGTTTAGCCACAGTCGGCTACGTATGGTGGTGCGAAAGATCAACATACGTTTAGTTAGTTTGTTGTCCTTCCCCCCTCCGCACCTCTGATCAGCCATGGCCGGCTACGTACGGCGCAAAAGAAGCTCAACGTACATACACACGAGCTACGTGGAGCGAAACGTCGGACGTCGTTGCTGAACAACAACACGCGGCATGACCCCGAAAACACATCCGGGGGGGGGGGGGGGGGGCGGGAGGCCCTCCGTCACTTCGGCCGCGATGAGGTGAGGGTGAGAGCCGAGGAGACGCGGAAGATCTGGGGCAGCATGGCACTCAGCTGGAAGAACACCTCCTCCGACAGGCCCTGCAACGTGACACCACGGACCACCTTAGAAACCTTAGAATTAACGTCGTTCGAAAATCTCCCCGTCGCAATCGGGATGATTCCTAGCCAAAGTCGCCTGGGTGAAAAAAGTAGACTTTTTTTTTCTCAAACCAATGAAACTTAACAAATGTATACTCATTGTTTTTTTCGGTAAAGTCACGTATGTAGAAAATTTTATTAAAATAATAATAAATCACGACGTTTCGAACGCAACACAAGCAATCAACATCAGGTGTAAAACAAATAGTGAGGGAGCACATAGGGGGACATCACGTACATAGCACATAGAGAACGTTAAACTGTACGGAGGCAAATGCAACAAGAAGATGAGAGACGAGAAACTCAACAAACCTAAGAAAAATAACGCGATGCAAAACCAGTCGGCCAACAACAACACAGTTAGACACTGACCTGGTTAACCACGAATTTCAGAAGACTGCTAAATTTCGTGTTCATCCTCTGGGTTGAACAAGCCAGCGTAGACAGAGTGAACAAATACGAGGTACAAGGTAGCAGAGATAGATACATAGGGAAGAACATCCAAGGAACGATATATTGGGCAGCACAGATGGACAACCAGAGTAACACCACACCAAGAGACAAAAAGGACTGGAGGGATGACGGACAGAGACTTAAATAAGCTGCAGAGGTGGGGGGAGGGGTTGAAGACAATGGGAACCTACGCAGAGAGAGCACATGGATGAGCAAACAACCCGGACAGGAACGGTGCTGAAATAAAGCTGCAGGTGTGGGGGGAGGGAGAGGGGTTGAAGACAATGGGAACACACGCGGAGTGCGATGGATGCGTAACGTCGAGGACAGCAACGGTGGAAGAAAGTGAAACAGAGACACAGACCACGGCAAACAGAAAACAGAGCACATTGAAGCACGTGGAGATACATACGAAGGCAAGACAACACAGGGCAATGAGTATAGTAATTTATGCAATCACGAAAGCTTCAATTCTATATTTAAAAATGTAATTAATTAACCTACACGAACTGCTTTTTGCATTCGGTTTTGCCATCCTCAACCCTGCACCTCGCGATTAGCCACGGTTGGCTACGTACGGCGGTGCGAAAGAAGTTCAACATACGTGCGTACGCACATCAATACAGGAATCGGACCGTTTATCAGATGCAGAGGCAGGAGGATGTCACCCTTGAAGAAGTAACTCGGTTCTTCGCAGTGCGAAAGGGGGGAATGCTCCCCGGCCAGATGGTTGTCACGGTGGACATCGTCAAAGAAGCGGGAACAATTGCTGGAACTCGCAGAATATGTTCACTAAATGTTTACGCGCATGTGACAAACCACAAATTAAAATGAATGGTGGCTCAATCATTTTCACATTGTTCTTGTAACACACGTATGTTGAAATTATTTCGCACTGTACGTAGCCAAACATGTTAATCTGAGGTGCGGGGGAAGTACAACAAACTATGGGTCTCTTGTGTGAGTCTATGGGTCTCCGTGTGAGTCTATGGGTCTCTTGTGTGAGTCTATGGGTCTCCGTGTGAGTCTGTGAGTCGCCGTGTGAGTCTATGGATCTCTGTGTGAGTCTATGGGTCTCTGTGTGAGTCTATGGGTCTCCGTGCGAGTCTATGGGTCTCTGTGTGAGTCTATGGGTCTCCGTGTGAGCCTGTGAGTCGCCGTGTGAGTCTATGGGTCTCTGTGTGAGTCTATGAGTGTCTTGTGCGAGTCTGTGGGTCTCCGTGTGAGTCTATGGGACTCTTCGTGACTCCATGGGTCTCTGCGTGAGTCCATGTACGTTCGTTGAACTTCTGTAGCACTGTACGTAGCCAACCGTTTGCTCATTGGGTGTGCGACCTGGGTTTTTACTTTAAGATGTTTTCAGCCAATTACGAAGCGCTTACAAGTGGGAAGGCACCGGAGCACCCGGAGAAACCCCACGCACGAGAGGGGCGGGGGCAACACTATCCCATACAGAAGGGACAGACGATCTTGGTCTGCATTTTTTCTGCACTGCCTTCTCCTGGCAAGCCAGGGAGAGAGGGGGTACGTCGCCTCCTCGACGAGCCTACAACCCTCGCTGCTGCCTCCGCAGTTGCGGAATTACAGGCGCCCACTTGCAGCAGCGTAGCCACCGCCGCGTGGCTAATAAGAACGGCGCCACGGTGGTTAGGAGATATCAACTACCTCGCCTGGTAATACAGGGGTCGCGAGTTAGATCCCGACCCTGTGACGCCTGCTGCTGTATATTTGGAGTTTGCGTCTCTCATCATCATCACGGTGGCTAGGAGATGTTAACTACCTCGCCTGGTGTACAAGAGGTCTTGGATTCGATCCCAACCCTGACGCCTGCTGCTGCTGTATATTTGGAGTTTGCGTCTCTCTCTCTCTCCCCGTGGTCACGGCTTTCCCCTCCACATTTAGAATCAACGTCCGTTTTAGAGTATTTGGCCCGTATAACATTTCCAGATGATAAGCCACTTCGTTGAGCTACCATTTGTGATAGCCAGGTCGCTTCTGAAAAATAGCTTATAATATAGCTCAGTGGGCATTACCTGGTACAAATAAAAAAAACATTTGACAGTAAAACGTATTGACGGGCAAATGCGTGATGATAATTGACGTGGTCAACGCTGAGGCGGGGCGTAAACCGATCGGTCCGGTCACCTGCGGCACGATGAACTGCACCGTGCGCGAGACGCCCCCGTCCCACGAGGCCATCTCCATCATGAACCCTGCGGGCAGCAGAGCAACAGCGCGACAAATTGGGTCATTTGAAGGAGAATAATTTTTTTTTTATTATCAAATGAACGGCGTCCCGGGAAATCGGGAAATACAAGGTTATCAAATATTTAGTTTTGATTGGAAATTCATATTTTGGGTTAGGCCGCGTAACGACCTGGGGTCAAACTGGGTGATGCCAAGATCCTCCGCTACCCGCCAAACAAATTGAAACTGCCACGCGGGTGCAAAGCGTTTGACAACGTATTCTTTGTTCTTTCGGTAAAGTCACGTAGGAAGGGAAATAATAACACAATGCAAGCAGCCGTCCTCGCGTTTGACAATGTGCCAATCGCGACCGTTTCCGCTCGCTAACCCGGTAAAAGTTGTGGAACAATTCTCACGGGCAAAATAAATTTCGCAGACATGCGACAGTTTCCCGTCGCGACTTCGCCGAGCGTCAGTGGGACAACAGCCAGGACAGTCGAGAGGGACAAAACCCCAAACAGACGATGGACCACAATACCGTGAATAACTGCATCGCTATGTCTGCTCTCCGGCGAAACTGAGCAGTATTATATTCTTGGTTCTTTCGTGACTTTACCGAAAGAACCAAGAATATGAATCCCTGCAGTCACAAAAGCTTTAAATCAAAATTTGAGCAGTATTAGTCGCGGCTACTCCCGAAGCTATCGCGTGACTCGCAAGACTTAAACTTGGACGTGTGATTTGGACGTACTTGCTATACACTCCACCAGTGGTTCTTAACCTGGGGCGCACGCAACCCCTGGGGGTGCGAGATGCCCTTTCTGGAGGGTGCGAGACACGGCCAGATTTTTTTCGAAGGTAAATCATCGAAAACACAAATTAAGCACGGACACGTAAGTAACAACTTTACTTTGTTTCATCAAATCCTCTATGTAGTTATTAACATTGTACTCTTTTTTTTTTACGATTGAAAACCAAAGTGGTGCAAGGCTGCAGTAAGAACCACTGCTCAAGAGAGATCATCACCACGTGTAAATTTATCAGCGCCTGGGTTTGTTCCCACCCCACTTTTTCGAAATCTACTTTGCGTTCCGGGTTCTCGATGATACAAAAAAATATGCCCCAACGATTCCGCATGCCGAGTGAGCCCGTGTCACCTTTCACACATTTGAAGACCAGCTCCGCCTTCTTCAGGCACCACGAGACGGTCATTTCCTATTCCGCGACGCACACAAAAGACAAAGATCCCCCCCCAGCCCCCGTTGTAGCCTTAACAGACTGTTGGGGCAAGGGCTGTTAGCGAGTAGCAGCTTCTGCTGCTGCCTTCCCCCCGTTCGTCCGTGGTTCTTGCTTGCCGGCTCCTCTGAGTCGTCCTCTCTCCCTCTCTGTCTGCGAGAGCGAGGAGCGGCTGCCGTGCGGCGCCGCATTGCTTTGCAAGTTGACACCGCACTCTTATGCGCGCGGCAAAACCGTTAACCGGTACTTTACCGCTTTCTTGGTGTATCTTTCAATCCTGCTCGTGGAAATGCAAAGTAAAACTATTTTAGAATCGAAATGATTTAACTGCTCAACCCGAGCTATTCATCCTTTTGATATTTGCAGTGGCATTGTACAGGTCTAACTAGTGAGACAAGGCCATAAAGAAAGCCGTCTCTGGTGTAGGCCAATTAGTTTCAAAGGCAATGCATACATTATCTTTGCATGCTTAGCCACACGTATGTTTGGTTAATGCAGACCTGATGCCTTGAAACAGGCGTTCGTCTATTTGGTGCGTGCGCATTTTAACACCTGCTTTATTGCCAGAAAGGGTAGAGCATATTGTTATATTTTTTCATCATATTACCCTGCCCCGCCACACCCCGTGTCCCCCCGTGCGCTCAAATTAGCCAAGACTGACCTCGGACATCTCGTGGACGAGCAGCAGGGGCAGGGTGATGTTGGTGATGTCGTTGTGGCAGCACACCTACAGTGGAGGGGGAGGGCAGCATGGCATCGCCGTCAGAACATGACCGGCGAACGCGTATCCACGCGGCACCCTGCGTCGTATGTACGTGTGTATGCTGAAGTTCTTTCGCACCGTACGTAGCTAACCGTGCTAATCGTAGGTGCGGGGGAAGGACAACAAACGATGGATTTCTGCGCGAGTCTGTGGGTCTCTGAGTCTGTAGGTCTCTGCACGAGTCTGTGGGTCTCTGCGTGAATCTATGGGTCTCTGTGCGAGTCGACATATGCATGTACGCTGAACTTCTTTCGCACCGTACGTAGCCAACCATGCCGCCTCGGCATCGGCTCTGAGCGTTCCCTCCGTTGGGCGGGCCGTTCCACCGTCCGCCCTCCCACCCGCCCACCCGCCCACCCGCCCTCCCGGCTCACCTTGAGGATGTTGCGCAGGCCCATGATGGCCGGGTCCCGAGCCGTGATGGCGCCGCAGCGAGCGCCTTCGTCAACGCACAGGTGGAAGACCACCTGCACCTCGGCGAGGTTGGAGTGCCGCGTGATGTAGAACTCCCCTGCGGGGGAGAGGCACGCCGCGGTCGCGCCATCACGACGGCACCGGGGGGGGCGCTGGAGTCGCACGAGGCGACACACGCCCCCCCCCCCCCCCCCCCCCCCCCCCAGCGGTCGGGCGTTCGCCGCTTGTTGCCGAGGGGTCGCGGTCGGAACCGGGAGGCAGTCACCGGTTAATAAATGCGCGCGTTAACTGTAACGCGCGCTGTCCTCTTTGCAGCGGACACGAAAGATCCTGTGACGTTATTTTTTAAAAAGAGGGCGGGGGCCCGCTCTACGCGTGCCAGCGTCGCCGTCCAAATGTTTGCACCGACCGTGTGAAAAATTATGGAAATATTACGGAAAAATTATGGAAAAATTACAGAAAAATTACTTTATTAAGAGGTAAAACGACACAGGAACATCAGCCCCCTGCTGGCAGACTGTACCTGGCGAGATGTTTTGTGGATTCTTCTCCGAGTTTTTCTTGTCATCCGCGCCTCCGTTCCGGGCAAAGGACTCTTGAAATTCAACCAGACACAATCCGCGACCATTTAACGTCGTTGCGGAGACCGCAAGTAACAAAAGAAAATAAGCAGGCAATGCGTCCCCTTCGTCTGTATATCATATTATGCAATGCGCTTCTTGTTCAATGAAAAAATATTCAAGAACAAAAACAATCAAAGAGGGGAATCTCGCAAACGAACGAACGCGATACCAATGAGTCGGTGGACACCGTTTGGCGTTAGTCTCTGGTCTGACACTGGTAGTGAGACTATAAAGAAGGATGTTGTCTCTCGTGTAGGCCAATCCGTTTCAGAGACAATGCCCCATAGATTATCAGAGCCATGTTCGTTTGCATGTTTTGCCACAGGTAGGTGTGGTTAATGCAGTACTTGATACCTTGCAAAAGGAATCTTTTTGGTGTTTGAACATCTTAACACCTCCTGTTTCATTGCCAGCAAGGGTAAACACCTATTCCTATTTTTCATACTTTGATACTGGCAAAAAGGTCCCGTAGATATAACTGCCCAACCCGACCTATGCATGCTTTGATACGTCCATTGTCTTTGTGCTGTTTCGCCTTTTGGCGTTAGTCTCTGGTCTGACGCTGGTGAGACTGGGCCATCCAGAAGGCTGCTTGCTATCTCTGGTCTAGGCCAATCAGTTTCAAAGACAATGCCATCTATAATTGTCAGAGCATGTTCGTTTGCATGTTCACCACAAGTACGTGCGGTTAATGCAGACCTGATGAGGCATGTGCGTCTATTCGGTGTGTGCGCATCTTAACACAACTTCTGTTATATTGCCAGAAAGGGGTAAAAGCCTCCTCTTATTTTTCATGACAGACCAAGAGCGGCACAACCACCAACGCCCGGCAAAATGAGAGGCGATGCTCCGGGGGACACGGCAACGGTGCCCCCCCCCACCCCACCTGTGGTCTTCTTATCCTTGCCGTGAAACGTGTTGACGGCCAACACCACCTCCTGAACGTCGTTCATCTGCTGCTCCAGTTCCAAGAAGTGAAAATCGGTTGACTGCTGGCAAACCATCGCAAACTCTGTCGGAAAACAAAGATGTAGGTAACCCCGTTTTAGCCTGCAACAAGACCGCCGATGGGGGCGGGGGGGGGTGAGTGCTGTTAACGAGCAGCACCTATGTATGTAGAACTTCTGTCGCACCGTACGTTATGCAACCGTGCCAATCGGAGGGGCGGGGGAAGGACAACAAACTAAACACAAAAACCAGTATATTCTTGTTTCTTTCGGTAAAGTCACGTAGAAGGGAAACAATAAAATAATAAAAATATAAAACAATAAAATTCTCACGACGTTTCGACTGCAACACAAGCAATCATCATCAGGTGTGAAAACTACAACAAGAAAATTTGAAAAAAATTGGCGGTTTTTTTAATGTTAGCACCACGGAGAGCGATTTGACAGTTTGTTCAGATGGACGAGTCCATCTATGTTCAGAAAAGAGGGGGGAGAAGAAAAATAATGGATGCAGTCTGAAAGCCACCTTAAGCATGATCAATCGAGACCCGAAATGGTTTATCAAATCCTTCCAATGATTGCTAAGCGAGAATCCAGCTTCTTGGTTGAAATTGTCTCTGTGTTTGTATATGTGGACAGCCTCATGAACGAATCTCTCATGGTAGCCAGATGGCTTGCAAAGAACCTCTGTCTTGGAGAAGTCAGTGTCATGTGAACCAACAAAAAGCAGTCGTACAAAAAAAAGTTTAAAATTTTTATTTATAATTGCTGAGCTACTGTGGCTTCCTAATTACTATTTTTTACTTTTTTATTTTACCAGGTAAGGTTCCACTGAGCTACATACAGTGAGGGAAAAAAAAGTATTTGATCCCCTGCTGATTTTGTATGTTTGCCCACTGACAAATGATCAGTCTATAATTTTAATGGTAGGTTTATTTGAACAGTGAGAGAGAATAACAACAAAATCTAGAAAAACGCATGTCAAAAATGTTATAAATTGATTTACATTTTAATGAGGGAAACAAGTATTTGACCCCTCTGCAAAACATGACTTAGTACTTGGTGGCAAAACCCTTGTTGGCAATCACAGAGGTCAAAATTTCTTGTTGTTGGCCACCAGGTTTGCACACATCTCAAGAGGGATTTTGTCCCACTCCTCTTTGCAGATCTTCTCCAAGTCATTAAGGTTTCGAGGCAGACGTTTGGCAACTCGAACCTTCAGCTCCCTCCACAGATTTTCCATGGGATTAAGATCTGGACACTGGCTAGGCCACTCCAGGACCTTAATGTGCTTCTTCTTGAGCCACTCCTTTGTTGCCTTGGCCTGTGTTTTGGGTCATTGTCATGCTGGAATACCCATCCACGACCCATTTTCAATGCCCTGGCTGAGGGAAGGAGGTTCTCACCCAAGATTTGACGGTACATGGCCCCGTCCATCGTCCCTTTGATGCGGTGAAGTTGTCCTGTCCCCTTAGCAGAAAAACACCCCCAAAACATAATGTTTCCACCTCCATATTTGACGGAGGGGATGGTGTTCTTGGGATCATAGGCAGCATTCCTCCTCCTCCAAAAACACGGCGAGTTGAGTTGATGCCAAAGAGCTCCATTTTGGTCTCATCTGACCACAACACTTTCACCCAGTTGTCCTCTGAATCATTCAGATGTTCATTGGCAAACTTCAGACGGGCATGTATACGTGCTTTCTTGAGCAGGAGGACCTTGCGGGCACTGCAGGATTTCAGTCCTTCACGGCACAGTGTGTTACCAATTGTTTTCTTGGTGACTATGGTCCCAGCTGCCTTGAGATCATTGACAAGATCCTCCCGTGTAGTTCTGGGCTGATTCCTCACCGTTCTCATGATCATTGCAACTCCACGAGGTAAGATCTTGCATGGAGCCCCAGGCCGAGGGAGATTGACAGTTCTTTTGTGTTTCTTCCATTTGCGAATAATCGCACCAACTGTTGTCACCTTCTCACCAAGCTGCTTGTCAATGGTCTTGTAGCCCATTCCAGCCTTGTGTAGGTCTACAATCTTGTCCCTGACATCCTTGGAGAGCTCTTTGGTCTTGGCCATAGTGGAGAGTTTGGAATCTGATTGATTGCTTCTGTGGACAGGTGTCTTTTATACAGGTAACAAGCTGAGATTAGGAGCACTCCCTTTAAGAGTGTGCTCCTAATCTCAGCTCGTTACCTGTATAAAAGACACCTGGGAGCCAGAAATCTTTCTGATTGAGAGGGGGTCAAATACTTATTTCCCTCATTAAAATGCAAATCAATTTATAACATTTTTGACATGCGTTTTTCTGGATTTTTGTTGTTGTTATTCTGTCTCTCACTGTTCAAATAAACCTCCCATTAAAATGATAGACTGATCATTTCTTTGTCAGTGGGCAAACGTACAAAATCAGCAGGGGATCAAATACTTTTTTCCCTCACTGTAGTTCAGCAAAGTGACTCATTACATGGAAATTCATAGCAGCCAAATACCCTCAAAGCACGTTTCTAAATGTCGAGGGAAAAATCGGAGGACCCAGAGAAAAATCCACGTGACCACGGAGAGAGAGAGAGAGAGAGACACGCAAACTCCAAATATACAGCAGGCGTCAGGGTCGGGACTGAACCCACGACCTCCTGGAAACCAATTGATGTAGTTAATATCTGGCCACCGTTGGCGCCCACGGTAACATCGGAAGAGCGTTCCAGACGGGACGCGGTCCGGCACGCTCACCACCACCAACGCCACAAACCGCCACCACCACCGCCACCTTTTTTGATGCCGCTGTAGGAGCTGATGCGGTTGTCCACGAGTAGCACGAGGCCCGAGAGCGCGGAGGAGTAGAGCGATAGCGCCATGTGCAGTCGGCGGGGCCGCGTGTCGCCCTGCGAGCCGGCGCGCAGGCGGCAAAGCTCCAGCACGTCGGCGCGCAGCAGCCGCAGGTTGTGCATCGTCTTCATCTGAGCGCCTGGCGTACGCGACGCCAACCAAAAAGAAGCGAGTCAGGTCTAGCGGGGGTCAAACGCGTCGTAGGAAAACCGGCAGACCGACCACACCCCCCGCGACCTCCTGTATCCCTGGCGAGGTAGTTAACATCTGGCCACCGTGGCGCCCACGGCAATATCGGAACAAGCGTTCCAGACGGGACGCAGTCCGGCAGGCTCAATGTGCCGTCGCCACCGCCGCGGGGCACGATGAGGAGCAGCGCCTGCACACCCAGGTGAATGGTGAAGCTCTCCTCCAGCCGCCGGTGCTCCTCGTACGCCACTCCGTCCTCCATCTCGGCGTCGGGCGGCTGCCCCGCCAGCCCCGCCACGTCGTCGCTGTGGGCGATGACGACGAAGGCAGAATGAGAATATTTACCGATGCCGGAGGAATCCGATGAGCTGTAAAGCTCTTTTTCACAGATGGCCAGTAGGGGCAGGTAAGAGCATTGCAACAACAAACAAGACAAAAACATGATAATAGTGCAAAGTATAAGAAAGGTAAACAAATTACCCAAACACATGTTTAATAATACAACTAAACCATCCCCATCCTACCAGGCAAAGCCCACCGAGGTATTAACTTATTTTTCAGAAGCGACCTGGCCATCACAAATGACAGCTCAACGAAGTGGCTTATCATAATACTCTGAACGCACGTTGATTCTAAATGTGAAGGGAAAAGCCGGAGAACCAGGAGAAAAATCCACGTGACCATGGAGAGAACACACAAACTCCAAAAATACAGCAGGCGTAGAGTCGGGATCGAACCCACCACCTCCTGTACACCAGGCGAGGTAGTTAACATCTCCTAGCCACCGTGATGATGACATGCACACTCGAAATATACAGCAGGCATAGGGTCGGGATCGAACCCACGAACTCCTGTAAACCAGACGAGGTAGTTAAGATCTCCTAGCACCGTGATGATGAGATGCAAACTCCAAATATACAGCAGGCATAGGGTTGGGATCGAACCCACGACCTCCTGTACACCAGACGAGGTAGTTAAGATCTCCTAGCACCGTGATGATGAGATGCAAACTCCAAATATACAGCAGGCATAGGGTCGGGATCGAACCCACGAACTCCTGTATACCAGGCGAGGTAGCCAACATCTCCTAGCCACCGTGATGATGAGATGCACACTCCAAATATACAGCAGGCATAGGGCCGGGATCGAACCCACGAACTCCTGTATATCAGGCGAGGTAGCCAACATCTCCTAGCCACCGTGATGATGAGATGCACACTCCAAATATACAGCAGGCATAGGGTCGGGATCGAACCCACGACCTCCTGTACACCACGCGAGGTAGTTAACATCTCCCAGCCACCGTGATGATGAGATGCACACTCGAAATATACAGCAGGCATAGGGTCGGGATCGAACCCACGAACTCCTGTATACCAGGCGAGGTAGTTAACATCTCCTAGCCACCGTGATGATGAGATGCACACTCCAAATATACAGCAGGCATAGGGTCGGGATCGAACCCACGAACTCCTGTATACCAGGCGAGGTAGCCAACATCTCCTAGCCACCGTGATGATGAGATGCACACTCCAAATATACAGCAGGCATAGGGTCGGGATCGAACCCACGAACTCCTGTATATCAGGCGAGGTAGCCAACATCTCCTAGCCACCGTGATGATGAGATGCACACTCCAAATATACAGCAGGCATAGGGTCGGGATCGAACCCACGACCTCCTGTACACCACGCGAGGTAGTTAACATCTCCCAGCCGCCGTGATGATGAGATGCACACTCGAAATATACAGCAGGCATAGGGTTGGGATCGAACCCACGAACTCCTGTATACCAGGCGAGGTAGTTAACATCTCCTAGCCACCGTGATGATGAGATGCACACTCCAAATATACAGCAGGCATAGGGTCGGGATCGAACCCACGAACTCCTGTACACCACGTGAGGTAGTTAACATCTCCTAGCCACTGTGATGATGAGATGCACACTCCAAATATACAGCAGGCATAGGGTCGGGATCGAACCCACGAACTCCTGTATACCAGGCGAGGTAGCCAACATCTCCTAGCCACCGTGATGATGAGATGCACACTACAAATATACAGCAGGCATAGGGTCGGGATCGAACCCACAAACTCCTGCATACCAGGCGAGGTAGCCAACATCTCCTCGCCACCGCCACTCACCCGCTGGCCTTGCCGTCCGGCGTACTCGAGTCCTGATGCACCTTCATGATCCAATCGCGGTACTCGAGCCTCTGCAGCTCCATCAGCTGCTTCAGCTCCACGTTCCACTTGCTCTCCACCGCCTGCGTGGGCAACGCGCGGATGCGCCAAACGCTGGATTTTCAGGACGGCGTGCGACGGCCGCCGCGTTATTACCACGCGCGTGAACCCACGGAGAGCCTCGCTCAAGACTCGGGATGTATGATAATTATTTCCGCAGGTAGGGTCCCATCAGGCTAAGCGGCTCTCTGTTACGGGAAGGATCACAGCCCAAGGCGGTCGGAGGTTGAGTCGGTTACAGGGCATTGCAGGGTGGGAATGTGCAAACAAGAGCATGATCGCTCCCCCCCCCCCCGATCGGCCCTTGCTAATAAGACTACAAAGAATAATTGAAACTTGTTCCAATCCGTTGTCTTTTAACGCGAGAGTCGCGTTCCTGAAGAAACACAGCGTGATGAGAAACATCGCGCTATGATAACCGTCGATTCGTTAATGAAATAAAAACATGAACACGAGTGGCAAATGCGTGTTGCAGCATTAGTCGCGAAGCCACTCATTGTGATCAACAAAGCAGAATCCCGCCTTGTGTGACGCTGCGCCGGGGCAGCCGCACGACCGCTCATTCCAATGTGCGCGACGTAGTTCCGTTCACTCAGCCGCGTTACAAGATAGCACAAGGTGATGTCCAATTCGCATCCGCGTTATAAAAAAACGGAGCTCTCCAATACATTCATCGCGTTCTATCCAATTCGCGCCATTAACAAAACAACACGCGTTATGGCAGAACTGACTGCAAGCGTCGCCGCACGGCACCCGTTCGCTCGCTCCCAAAGAGAGAGGACGACTCGGAGGTGTAGGAAACCACGGAGGTACGGGAAGGGCAGGAGCCAGGCGGTGAGCCGAAGCGCCAAATCCCTACCCCCCCCTCACCTCCAAGCTCTGCCAGTCCTCTATGTATCAAGGTGTAATGGGCCAATTAGAGTTGACATGTGGGAGGAAAGGCACATCACCCGGAGACAGTGCGTGCGATGGAACAACACTCTATCCCACACAGAAGGGACAGATAATATTCGTCCGCACTCCGCTGGAGCGCATTGTCGTGGCGTGCCGGGGGCACGGAACATCCTCAACGCCGAAGGGAGTTTCACAGCCAATCTGTGTGTGACACACCAACCCTCGCTGGCTCCAAAGCGCTGGATCACAAGCCACGTGCACAGCCACCACCGCCGCCAAGCGAATGCCCACTTGTAGGCCGGTGCCGAATCAACCTTGTGCCACACAGGCATAACTGCCACTGAGGGCTTCCTTTCCGAATGTGACGCACGTCTCTTTTTGACCTGCCGGGGCATTTAAGCGAGGTGTCTTTCGACTGTAATGTGTTGAACCCCTCCGCCCCCCACGCCCTCCCTCCCCCCCCCCCCCCCCGCCCGCTCCCCCCCACAAGACCTGCTGCGTCTCGAAGTGCTGCACGGCCAGAACGTTGACATCCTCGTCCCTCAGGGACTTGCCCAGCTCCTGCATGGCTCGCTCCATCTCCACGCGCTGCCTGCGGGTGGGCACGCAACAACAGCGACAAAAACGTCATCAACAATAGCGGCCGTCGCTCACCACGCACGCTTCCCTTCTCTCTCCACTGGCGTACCCGAGCCAAGCCGGCGTGGGGGGCACTCGCGTTAACGGGTGCGTTTTTTTTTTTCCATTGGCTCTTTGACCGCGCCGAGCCGGAACTAGACCGTGATTGAGAACTCATTTCTCTAGAGCTGCTTTTTTGCAGTTCAGTTTGTTGCCCTTCCAACCCGCACCTCTGATTAGCACGGTTTCGCTACGTACGACGTGAAACAAGTTTAACATACGTAGACTCACATAGACCCATACACTAACACAGAGACCCATCGTTTGTTGTCCTTCCCGCGGACCTCCGATTAGCACGGTTGGCTATGTACAGTGTGAAAGAAGTTCAACGTACACACAAACACATACCGGCTGAGTCGTCGTTGAAAAAGAGCTACATAGCTCAATGGGTTTTTACTCGGGAAATAAAACTTCTGATTCTTCTGACTCTAATAATAAACGATACGCTGGCCTCACAAGACATCTGAATCTTTGCTCGGGGCCAGGCAGGGCCAACAAGACACACAGCGAGCGAGAGGGTGAGAGACAGAGCGATAGAAAGTGAGAGAGAGAACGGGCGAGAGAGTGAGAGCGCGGGAGAAAGAGCGAGAGAGAGAGAACGAGCGAGAGAGTAAGAGAGAGAATGAGCGAAATAGAGAATGAGCAAAAGTGCGAGAGTGAGAGAGCGAGCGAGAGAGAACGAGCGAGAGTGAGAACGAGTGAGAGACAGAGAGCGAGAGAGAGCGAGCGAGAGAGAACGAGCGAGAGAGTGAAAGAACGAGCGAGAGAGTGAAAGAGAGAACGAGCGAGAGTGAGAGTGAGTGAGAGACAGAGAGCGAGCGAGAAAGCAAACAAGCGACCTCTCGCGCAGCTGCTGCAGGGCCATCTCCCGCTCGGCGAGCATCTCGGCGGCGCTGACGCAGTAGTGGTGCTCCAACGTGAGCAGCGTGTGCGACACGGGCGAGTGGATGAGAGCGCTGTACGCCCGCGAGAACTCCTCGTCTGCACGCGCCTCCTCGGCTCCCACGTGCTGCACCGTGGTCTGCGCACCGCCGCAAGGCACCGTAGACAAAGATCCCCCCCACCGCGTTAGCCTTTAACAGGCATTCGGTGGGCAAGTGCCGTTTGCGAGCTCCAACGAGGGTGGGAACGGCACACCTATTAAGGAGCTGGGTGGCAGTCACCCACGCCGGACTCCCTTTCGATGTTTACAGCTACTCACCTGAGGCTGAGTCAACACAGTCCCAGGGAGCCCAGGGCCAGTTCAAATGTTCATCACCCTTAATAGCAGCAAGCGGGGAATCGAACTCGGTTCGTCGGGTTCGTAGTGCGGTTCACGAACCACTGCGCCACCACGCCCCGCACGGTACCACCACCTACCACTCACAAAGTGCAATCAGGTCAACTGCTTGTCTGTGAATTTATCAGGTTAATAACGCAGCCCTGTGATTGCTTGCTCAGGCCACTGCTGGTGGAGGAGCCTCTACTTTGCAGGCTGGAGTCACCTTGTGCCACAAAGGGACAGCTGCCACTGGTTGAGATGAGATCTGATGTACGTTGCTTTGGGGAATTTCATCAAGCGCCCTGTACAGGCAAAGATTATTATTACATTATAATAATTATTATTAGCGTCCAGCGTAATCGGTAATGTATATTGAACTTGTTTCGCACCGTCTGGAGCAAACCGTGCTAATCGGAGGTGCGGTGGATTGACAACAAACTAAACACATAAAGCAGTTCTAAAAGGAGTAGTTTTCACACAAGGTTTAAAGGTACATAGCTCCAGTGTCTTCCAAATATCGGAAGGAAGAGCATTCCAGACGGCCGCAGAAGCACATCTGAAAGCGCGAGACGTGGTGACCCATCTTTGGAAACGTAGCGGCGACCGCAACGGGCGAGAATGTACAGTACGTACGCTTACGTTGAACTGCTTTCGCACCGTACGTAGCCAACCGCGCTAACCGGGGGTGCCGACGGCGAGCGCGAGCGACGGGGCCCCAGCGACGCACCTCACGGAAGGCCTTCTCCCAGGCGCGCGCGAGGCCGTCCACCTCCTCGTCGGAGGCAAGGGCGATGCCCTCGAGCGCCCGCTCTCCGCTCTGGTCGTACAGCTCCTGCGTCTTGTCGCGCACAAACTCCCGCAGCGCCTGCCGCAGCTCTGATAGGGGTGGGGGGGGGGGGGGTGGGGTGAGGCCGAGGGTGAGAGGCGCAACGCAGACGTCAAGAGGCGACCGCGGTGATGGGGACGCCGCTTGTTTCATTAGGCCTTCTTGAAAGACTCGCCAGTTTCAACTGGCCTACACTTCCCATGTATAATAATAACTTTGATTTTAGATAGCGCCATTCATGCCAACAGCATCCTACAAAGCTGTACTTATTTGGTTCTCATTATATATAGGAACCAAATCCCATAAACGTGGCTGGCTACGCAGGACCAAGCAATTTTTTTTTTATATATATAAACAAATGGCATCAAAACAAGTATGACCAGTGAACTCTCGAGTGTAGTATTTATATTTCCTAACTTCGTACGTGGAACATTGAGATGCGTGGATGAATGACGTGTTATAAATGTAAATTATTATTGTTAACATGGGTTCTATGGCAGCGGCTCCCAAACTGTAGGCATCAAAACAAGTATGACCAGTGAACTCTAGAGTGTAGTATTTATATTTCCTAACTTCGTACGTGGAACATTGAGATGCGTGGATGAATGACGTGTTATAAATGTCAATTATTATTGTTAACATGGGTTCTATGGCAGCGGCTCCCAAACTGTAAGGCGAACGCGGGCTGCGGCATGGATACCGCGCAGGGAACTTAAAGGTGACCCACAGTGCGGAATACCGCAGCCACCTGAACCAAGCAATGGACCACATCGCCAACGGCTGCGTCATTCCACGCCCAGCTCTCGCCCTTCACGAACCCGCCAACGTGGCTCGCAAAACTCAAAACGAGGACGTAACTGCTCATTTTATATATATATGGTGCTTTTCCCACGCTCAAAGCACCGAACGGTAAAAAGTATTCAACCTTAAGACACTAAACCCTTGTTAATTCGACACATGGGGCTCTGGCCTTGCAAAATTGTGTACAATGGCCCCAGACCCTCCTGCCCCAATGCATTTTTTCCCCCAAATGTGTTTTCCAAACTCTTCACACACCCTACGCATTGACGGACAACCTGCATCAATCATGTCCAAAACCGTGGCTTTGTCTCGCCTACACGTCGGCGTAGACGACATTTCTGAGAGGGTATGGCTTGCACAGAGCGCGTAGGCAAGGTAAAGTCTAAAGCGACGGGTCTGCGCTAACGCTCGCCACGCACCGCGCACCGCCACCAGACCGAGTCGTTGTTTTGGTCGTGGCGCGCCGCGTCGCTCCACGTGCTCTGTGCCGAAATTGGACCATTCGGCGAGCCAATTCGGCTCATGGCAAATTACTAATACTGTATATATGCCAAAAAGAGCAAACGTGCAGAATTGTCCCCAATTACGAATGATCAAATACATTGAAATGAGGTTTTTACTGTACGTACTAAAAAAAAACTATTGCACGAAAACTAAAAACAATCGCACATGTATAGAACATCAGAGCAGCATTGAGGGCATTCAAGGCATGGAATATACAAGGTGGGAGAGTAGAGGAGGGAATTCAAGCCAAATTGTAAGACCATTTGAACGTACTCTTTTGTTCTTTCGGTAAAGTCACGTAGAGTATAAAATAAAATAAATCACGACGTTTCGGGCGCAACACAAGCGGTCCGTCATCAGTTAGGGAAAGCGTGGCCTGCTGCTGAGGCAGACTGTTTTTAAAAGGTTTGAAATGGGCGTAGCCCAAGGGTCATAAAGAAGTGGGCAGGGCTAGTGATGTTAATGTTGAGAAATTAGCGTGTAACTGTAAGATAGGAGAGCGGTCTCCTCGACGAGGGCACGGAAGTGGCTATGTTAATGTGAGAGATTAGCGTGATGTTAATGTAAAATCGAAGAGTGGTGTAATCCAATGGCAGGAAAGTGCAACCTTTTCAACAGATAAGTTTTTACATCAGATTTGAAGGTAGAGAGATTGACTCAGCGAATCTGATCTCAATGGGCAGTGCGTTCCATAGCTGAGGGGCGATTGAGTTACGCATTCTTGCCACACGCCAGAAGAAGACCGTCACAGGCCACGCGGAGAAATGGGAACCGCTCGAGCGGGTACCGACGAGCGAAACATCTGGTCCCGGGTCTCACGGACTACCACGCATGCACGCCCGTGCCAGTCGGCACGCACCGTCCTCGGCATAGCAGGGCAGCGCGTGGCTGTGCACAAGGCGACTGTGCAGGTCGCTGATGGGGCAGGCGAGCGGGAGGCCGACCGGGACGCTCAGCGGTGGAGTGTCCCTCGTCGCGAACGTGAAGTCCACCACAGCCACGGGGCCCGGCACATCCTCCCCCATGGCGGCGCTCGTGTAGCCGACCCCTAAGTGCCCAACGCACACACGGGGAGGGGGGCACGCACATGTACGTACGTACGTTGAGCTTCCATCGCACCGGCACGCGTAAACAAAGATGCGAGTAGAGTATTCCCTTCGTTATTCGCCAACTTGCTCTCTGCGATTTTGGCTGTCCGTGAATCGCATCTGGAACTCTACACGACTGCAACGAGTGAGAAAGTGATGAGAGAGAATGTGATGTGAGAAAGTGATGAGAGAGAATGTGATATTCTTAGTTCTTTCGGTAAAGTCCCTTCAACGTGACTTTACCGAAAGAACTAAGAATATGAATTACTGCAGTCATGAAAGCTTTAAATCAAAAGAGAATGTGATGTGAGAAAGTGATGAGATAAAGTGATGCTCAGCATAATAATTTAAGGTAAGTTAAATTATTAACTATTAGTTTGACTACTCGGCTTCGCCCGGTACTTGGATTCACCACGCCCGGCCGCCTTTGTCTCCCCAGTGGCGATGTTCACACACTACACCAGTTACTCGTTTGAGGCTGAGTCGACCTAGGGGAGGCCCAGGACCGGTTCAAATAATCGTCCCCGGTGGTGGCCGTGAGCGGGAATCGAACTCGGGTCGCCGGGTTCGTAGCGCGGCGCACTAACCACTACACTACAATGCGTTACGCTTCCACATGCGCGAGTCACGTGACAGATTTGACGTCACAGCTCACTTGCTGTGCAAAAAAAATGCATTATTGAGCTCCCCCCCCCCCCCCAAAAAACACACAAGTATATTTTTTATAGTTTTTGCATGGTGTACAGTCTGGAAAGTACCCACATGGCAAATTTCAGGTTTGTTGCATGTCGAGAAGTACGCTGAACATTTTGAACAGACACACATTCACAATCTTGCCTTTTATATATATGGAGATATATTCTTGGTTCTTTCGGTAAAGTCACGTAGAAGGGAAACAAAATAATAAAAATATAAAACAATAAAATTATCACGACGTTTCGACTGCAACACAAGCAATCATCATCAGGTGTGGTTTTCACGAGAACCAAGAATATGAATCCCTGCAGTCACGAAAGCTTTAAATCCAAAATATATGGAGATGTTCATTTATTGACTTCGTTTATTCAAACCAATTAATGTTATGATAATTTCCATGTATTTAATAGCTTGTTTACGTTATTTATTTTAGGAAATTCATTCGTAGGCCAATATCATTATCCGTGAAATTGGCTGTTCACGAGCATCTCTGAATAGTTTCCCTCCCGAATAACGAGGGGATACTGTACCAGCATTCAACACACAGGGTGGGGAAACTACGGGCAGTGGGATGGATACGGTCCACTACTTAAATTTCACACGGCTCGCAGATTAATTTCACTTCCGACCGAAACACAAACGACATTTACCCATCACTGGATCATCTGGACACGTGCGTTTAAAGAGTATTTGGATGCGATCATTTTTTTACGTGATAAATACTCGAGACGCATGTTTCTGCATGTGGAGGGAAAAACTGGAGTGCCTGGAGAATAATCCACGTGCCCATGGGGAGAACATGAAATCTACAAATTTCGAGGTGTCAGGGTCGAACCCACGACCTCCTGTATACCGGGCGAGGTAGGTAATACCTCGCCACCGTCCCTGCAGCAGCAGCAGCCTCTGAAGTGTGTTCCGTAAATTAGATTAAAAGCTTTCGTGACTACAGGAATTACTCTTTGGTTCTTTCGGTAAAGTCACGTAGAAAATAAAATCAAATAATAGAACACGTAACGATTTCAACACAAGCAACCATGATCAGGTAAGAATGAATGAAAAAAACATAGTAAACTTAGAAACACAGAGAGCCGGCCAACACAACAGCCAACACCCCACCTGGCTGACCACGCCGGCTCTCTGTGTTGTGTTGCATTGTGTTTCTAAGTTTACTATGTTTTTTTTTACTCATTCATTCTTACCTGATGATGGTTGCTTGTGTTGCAATCGAAACGTAGTATTCCATTATTACTTGATTTTATTTTCCACGTGACTTTACCGAAAGAACCAAAGTATGTGTTCTGTAGTCAAACGTAAATCTTCCTTCCAAAAATATCCTGAAGCAGAATATTACTGCTGGATACAACTGCATTTGCAAAGGTGATGTGTAACTTTGATCCTTACCCCATGTATCGATAATTAAATTTTTACGTGCACTTTTATCCAGGTATTGTGTGTTGCCTTGGTGTGGGTCTGGGCCTATTTTTACTTTTGTTTTGCTGCCTTGCCCAAAGCTTGGGAATTTGTATACTTACGCAATATGAACGTATATCCTTGATCTATTTTACAAATACAATTTTTGTGATTTGTTTACCTTTTCTATACTTTGCATTGCTATCTGGGGTTTTTTTCGTTTGTCGTTGTAACTTTCTGACCCGAACCCTACTGGATATGTGCGAAAAAGACCTTTCGTAGCTCATCGGATTTCTCCAGGATAAATAAACATTTTGATATTGGGCACGCGTTTTTAAATCCCCCTCCCGAAAGCCTCTGTCCACCCAGGAGCGTAAATTAATTCACCGCAGTTACCGAATCGACAGGTCCCGTTTGGTGGAGTAAAGAGTGGGTATCTACCACCTCTACCAAGAGGTCTTGGGCCAGCTTGGAAGAGTAGACCAACAACCTCTCTAGAAAGGTCCCTCCAGCGCCGCAGTGGTTCTCAAAATATGCTCTGGCTATATTATCGCACCCACTTATCAAAAATCGTTGAAAGTAGGTCAGTTATTTAAACATAAGATATGTCATAACTATAGAATGAATTTACCTTCTTGCAAAAAACAATCTGGCCACGTCTCGCATCCCCAGAGGTGGCGTGCACCCCAGGTTAAGAACCAATGTTATAGGGAATAGACTACACTATAGACTATACACTACACTATAGACTATACACTACACTATAGACTACACTATAGACTATACTGTACACTATAGACAACATACACAGTGCGCTTGTCTCACCCACAGGTGTAGCTCACTCACAAGGTGCACTCTATACACTATAGTCTATAGACTACACTATAGTCTATATACTGCACTATAGACTACACTACAGACTACACTATAGACTACACAGAGTGCGCTTGCCTGACCCACAGGTGTAGCTCACTAACAAGGTGAACTCTATAGACTATAGTCTATAGACTACACTATACACTACATTATACACTACACTATAGACTACACAGAGTGTGCTTGCCTGACCCACAGGTGTAGCTCACTAACAAGGTGAACTCTATAGACTATAGTCTATAGACTACACTATACACTACATTATACACTACACACTACACTATAGACTACACTATAGACCAGTGGTTCTTAACCTTTACTGCAGCCTTGCACCCCTTTGGTTCTCAATCTTACGTTTTTCATAACTACATAGGGTTTGATGAAACAAAGTAGTTGTAACGTACACGCCCATGCTTAATTTGTTTTCAATGATTTACCTTCTAAAAATATGTGGCCATGTCTCGCACCTTCAGGAAGGGTACCCCCCGGATAAGAACCACTGGTGTAGTGTATAGCGTAGTGTAGTGTATAGTGATGTAGTGTATAGTAGTGTAGTGTATAGTGGTGTAGTGAATAGTCGTGTATAGTGTAGTGTATAGTAACGTAGTGTATAGTAGTGATGTATAGTGGTGTAGTGTATAGTGGTGTAGTGTATAGTAATGTAGTGTATAGTAGTGATGTATAGTGGTGTAGTGTATAGTGGTGTAGTGTATAGTCGTGTATAGTGTAGTCTAGTGTATAGTCGTATATTGTATAGTAGTGATGTATAGTGTAGTGTATAGTAGTGTAGTGTATAGTAGTGTATAGTAGTGTCGTGTATAGTAGTGTAGTGTGTAGTGTATAGTAGTGTAGTGTATAGTAGTGTAGTGTATAGTAGTGTAGTGTATAGTAGTGTAGTGTATAGTAGTGTAGTGTATAGTAGTGTAGTGTATAGTAGTGTAGTGTATAGTAGTGTCGTGTATAGTAGTGTAGTGTATAGTAGTGTAGTGTATAGTAGTGTAGTGTATAGTGTATAGTAGTGTATAGTAGTGTAGTGTATAGTATAGTGTATAGTAGTATAGTGTATAGTAGTGTAGTGTATAGTGTAGTGCAGTGGGTCTTAACCTGGGGTGCATGCACTGCAGTCTAGCGGAAGCCGTTCCGAACGCAAGCAGTGGCTTGAAACAAGCATTAACAGAGCCACCCCTTTAAAACTACTGTACTTTTTCTAACCAGAAACGTTATGTATCCCTAACGCAGCTGCCCTTTGAACCGGTGGTGGGTAAAATTCCACATTGCCATGGCCGGGGTCGGTTCTACCCCCCCTCAGGCAGCTGCCCTTTGAACCGGAGGGTAAAATTCCACGTTGCCATGGCCGGGGTCGGTTCTACCCCCCTCAGACAGCGGTCCTTTGAGCCGGTGGAAAGTAAAATTCCACGTTGCCATGGCCGGGGTCGGTTTCGTACACAGAACCGACCACTGCTTTCCTACCTGCAGCAGCGCGGGGGGACACCTCGCGTGTTCTCCCTCGTCGCGGCTGTCGTTCGTTAAGGCGAATAAACAATGAGCCGCGGTTAATTTTTTTTAGTAATAAAAATTAACGCAACAACGTCGCAACATTTGGCGCACGGGCACAGCTGAAAATCGGGTCGACATTTGTGACCCAAAAAAAAACCACCCACCCCACCTCCCAACAGCACCAAAGCAATTAACGACGTAAACTTGAAAGCGTTTGAACGTTTAAAGAATAAGCGGTAGAGTTATTTCGGCTGTTAATCTGGTAAATGTTATAATTATTACGGTAAACAGGAAATCATGCGCAGGACACTCACACATGATCTCCGGTAAAACCACGAGCGGCTTGATCGCTGCGCGCATACCGCACACCGCCGATTCGTCACCGGACACGCAGCGGAATTATTTAAGCTCGTTTAAAAAATCGTCTTAACGTCATTTCAGCACGCGCCACGACGAACGTCCGTTTTGCGAGATAACGCCGGCGATATTTTTTGTGGGGGGGTTTTTTTTTTCTCTATCGCATTTAACGTGCGATGCGTGGTTGCCTATGTGAGGTGGTGGTGTTCTTATGTTCAGCGAATTCTCGATGACGTACGAGCGAAAGCGCAACGCAGCCGATGTGGAGCTGCGGACCTGTTTTCCCGCTCAAATGGTGTTGTTGTTTTTTTTCCCGCCAAAAGTGAAAGCAGTCCCCCCGGCGTGGGCGCCCAGAGCGTATAACGGCCGGTCGTAGTAAATTAGCGTTAATAATTTTTTTAAAAACGTAATATTACGAATTGATCGTTTGTAATTTTGTTTTTTTGAGGTAAATATGTAGGCGACCTTTCCGATCCGCGTCAAAGTTTATGAGAAAATGCCACCACCTCGGTACGATGCATTTGTTGAATGTTTACTGTTCTGCAGTATAAATATTAAAGACTCGGTGAAGTTAAATGAAGTTAACCTGTGTTTTGTCTGAGCAAATTACAAATATGAAGCGCCGTTTTTTTTTGCGATATTCAGCAAATGAATGCAATTTGATTAACTTGTTATTACTGTGGTCAGTGCATTTTATATAATGTTATAAAGCAGCTGTTGGGTAGGTTCATGGAATGTCACGGTTAATGTTGATAATTGAAGCTGCTGTTGTGAATTTGCAGGCACTGAGCAGGTTTCGTGACTTTAGTGAACATCAGCAATGCGTAGCCAATTACCAAACCTGGACCCTTCCCTTAATTAATCTTACCTGAGCCACATTCAATTATTTATGTTTTTTTTTTAAATAGGAACCTGATTGGGGTGTGTGGATTTTGTGTCTTAATTGCTCATCAGCAAGCCATAGGGTGGGCCCCGGTGGCTGAGATGTTAACTACCTCGCCTGGTGTACAGGAGGTCGTGGGTTCGACCCTGATGCCTGCTGCTGTATATTTGGAGTTTGCGTCTCTCTCATCATCATCACGGTGGCTAGGAGATGTTAATTACCTGGAGTTTGCGGTGTCTCTCTCATCATCATCACGGTGGCTATGAGATGTTAACTACCTCGCCAGTGTGTACAGGAGGTCGTGGGTTAGATCCTGACGCCTGCTGCTGTATATTTGGAGTTTGCGTCTCTCTCATCATCACGGTGGCTATGAGATGTTAACTACCTCGCCTGGTATACAGGAGGACGTGGGTTAGATCCTGACGCCTGCTGCTGTATATTTGGAGTTTGCGGTGTCTCATCATCATCACGGTGGCTATGAGATGTTAACTACCTCGCCTGGTGTAGAGGAGGTCGTGGGTTCGACCCTGACGCCTGCCTGCTGCTGCTGTATATTTGGAGTTTGCGTCTCTCATCATCATCACGGTGGCTATGAGATGTTAACTACCTCGCCTGGTATACAGGAGGACGTGGGTTAGATCCTGACGCCTGCTGCTGTATATTTGGAGTTTGCGGTGTCTCATCATCATCACGGTGGCTATGAGATGTTAACTACCTCGCCTGGTGTAGAGGAGGTCGTGGGTTCGACCCTGACGCCTGCCTGCTACTGCTGTATATTTGGAGTTTGCGTCTCTCATCATCATCACGGTGGCTATGAGATGTTAACTACCTCGCCTGGTGTACAGGAGGTCGTGGGTTCGACCCCGACCCCACGCCTGCTGCTGCTGCTGTATATTTGGAGTTTGCGGTGTCTCTCTCCATGGGCACGTGGATTTTTCTCCGGTTTTTCCCCTTCACATTTAGAAGCAACGTGCGTTGAGATTGTTTGGCTGCTGCCGCTATAAATTTGCGCGTGATCATACACAGCTCAGTGGGGTCATAACTGATCAAATACAAAAGTTTAGTTTCTAGTAATCCCAAGCAGAATAACCCTATCGAAAATTAAGTATTGAGGAAAAATTGCTCGCACAGAGATTTCAAAACTCCCTAAGACCTGGGGATGTTTTTGTTTCACTTATCGCAGGTGGGTGGGGGGGGGCTGACTTCAATATTCTGAGATATCTCAGTGTGTTTATGTTTTCCAATGGGCGCCACAAATGTATAAAACATTTTTTAATTGGATTTGAACTCGGAGTTTATTAATAGGTCGGAGCCGCTGATGTGGCTAATAATAAGTTCAATAAGTTCGAAAGGCTGCCGCTCAAGCAGCCTGCAGGGCAGCACACAAGGTGGCAGCCTGCAGGGCAGCACACAAGGTGGCAGCCTGCAGGGCAGCACACAAGGTGGCAGCCTGCAGGGCAGCACACAAGGTGGCAGCCTGCAGGGCAGCACACAAGGTGGCAGCCTGCAGGGCAGCACACAAGGTGGCAGCCTGCAGGGCAGCACACAAGGTGGCAGCCTGCAGGGCAGCACACAAGGTGGCAGCCTGCAGGGCAGCACACAAGGTGGCAGCCTGCAGGGCAGCACACAAGGTGGCAGCCTGCAGGGCAGCACACAAGGTGGCAGCCTGCAGGGCAGCACACAAGATGGCAGCCTGCAGGGCAGCACACAAGGTGGCAGCCTGCAGGGCAGCCTGCAGGGCAGCCTGCAGGGCAGCCTGCAGGGCAGCCTGCAGGGCAGCCTGCAGGGCAGCCTGCAGGGCAGCCTGCAGGGCAGCCTGCAGGGCAGCCTGCAGGGCAGCGCACGAGGTGGCAGCCTGCAGGGCAGCGCACGAGGTGGCAGCCTGCAGGGCAGCGCACGAGGTGGCAGCCTGCAGGGCAGCGCACGAGGTGGCAGCCTGCAGGGCAGCGCACGAGGTGGCTGCCTGCAGGGCAGCGCACGAGGTGGCAGCCTGCAGGGCAGCGCACGAGGTGGCAGCCTGCAGGGCAGCGCACGAGGTGGCTGCCTGCAGGGCAGCGCACGAGGTGGCTGCCTGCAGGGCAGCGCACGAGGTGGCAGCCTGCAGGGCAGCGCACGAGGTGGCAGCCTGCAGGGCAGCACAAGGTGGCAGCCTGCAGGGCAGCGCACGAGGTGGCAGCCTGCAGGGCAGCACAAGGTGGCAGCCTGCAGCATCTTGCAGCAGCCGGATATCCGGGTATCACGATTACCGACTTTCCCAAAATTTCAGGGGGGGCTGAGCCCCCCCCAGCCCCCCCTATGGCTGCGCCCCCCCTCAGCCCCCCCTGTGGCTGCGCCCCTGATCGCAAGCCATGCCCGTCGCATAATGCAGCAGTGTCTTGAAAATTACTCTTTGAGACTTTGACGCTTTCACGAGTAAATTAACAGTCAACTCTAGATAAATTTACCTCCGTATAATGAGCCAATTCTATAGAATGTGCTCATTAAATTTCGATTTAAGGCTTTCGTGACTGCAGGGGTTCATATTCTTGGTTCTTTAAGGTAAAGTCACGTAGAAGGGAAATAATAAAATCATAAAAATACAACAATAAAATTCTCACGGCGTTTCGATTGCAACATAAGCAATCATCAGGTGTGAAAACCACAGCAAGAAAATGTATTGCTGTTGCAATCGAAACGTGGGAATTTTATTGTTTGATCTTTTATTATTTTATTATTTCCCTTCCACGTGACTTTACCGAAAGAACCAAGAATATGAATGTGCCCATTGGCTGTCTCATTGTTTATTATGTCTTGAAGTAACCGGTTCAGGTTGTTTTTGCATTCACGAGGGAGCAGCAGCAGTAGCAGCAGCCTAGAATGAAACCCGCTCACGCTTAAGCTGATTATAATTCACTTAATTTTCATCTACCCACAGAAAGTTTGAACGTCAATAATAAGCAAAAGGAAGGGAAAATACTACAAATGGGGTGTCGGTGGTTAAGTTAATACTCCAGTGGAGCTTTGCCTGGTAGGATGGGGATGGTTTAGTTGTATTTGTGTTTCGGTAATTGATTTACCTTGCTTGTACTTTGCACCATTGTCGTGTTTTTGTCCTGTTTGTTGTTGGAACGTTCTTACCCCGTGCCCCCTACTGGACATCTGTAAAAAAAAAGAGCTTTATAGCTCATCGGATTCCTCCTGTGTAAATAAATATGGCGAATTCTATCTTGATTTGAAGCTTTCGTGACTGCCGGATTCCATACTCTTTTGTACTTTCGGTAAAGTCACGTAGTCAGAAATAAAATAAAACAAATTACCAAGTTTCGATTGCAACACGCAATCTTCATCGATTGCTCCTCCCCCCTTTTTTTTACCTATATGAATCAATTGACAGTAGCCTGGATCACCGCAAAATATTGGTGGGCCGGGCATAGTGTAAGGTTTTTTTTTTCTGGGAGCATCGCTGGTACTACCACCCTGTCCTGCCGGAGGGCCACGCTGGGAGCGATGATGAGGACGACGATGTCGATCCCGCCAGCACGACCGTGACTGCCGGCCGTACCGAGAGAGCGCCCGGTGCACCATTGCCTCCACGTGGTCTCGCTCCCAAAGACAAGGAGGGTGTTGCCGCCCCCGTAAGAAGCAGAACTTGCTGGGGAATGACCAGACCAGCATCCCGATGTACTTTCAAAACAAGCAATAAACAGCCGTTGCCACGCACAAATCAACCAGCAGCCCCCCTTTTTCATGGGTGTTTTGCGTGTTTTTTATTTCCATATTTGGCGTGCGTATCGGGCTCAGTGACATCTCCTGTTTTCATAGGTCTTCTGGTTTCAGAGTTATGGAGGATTTGGCACCGTGACCCGGGTCACCGCCAATAGATTCATATAACCTCTTGCCACGGCAGCTCTCTCTCGCCCACTTCAGCAATTTTTTCTTGCTGTGTGGTTGTCACACCTGATGAAGATCGCTTGTGTTGCAATCGAAACGTTTGTGATTTGCTTTATTTCTTTTCTAACTATGTGACTTTACCGAAAGAAACAAAGAGTATGGCTAATTCGAATTTGTCTTGGCGGATGACAGGCGACGTTGTATTGTAGTGTGCACAATGTTATTTTCAACTTGGCAAAAACCACTTGTGTCTTTGTTGCCTACAGATCCAGGCCAGTGTTGGACTATTCATCGTTTGGGGAACTGGATGGCGACGGTGAGTGACGGTTGTCACCCACTCCCATCAACTCCACCAACACTGAAGCCGCTCGCTCTCACTCACTCGCTCACTACACGCAGTAAACTCAAACCAACGTTCGCTCGCCCGCTTAACCAAAACCCAGTCGATCGCCTAAGGGGCCGTCCGTAAATGACGTCACGCACCTGGGGGGGGGGGGGTCAGACATTTGTGACGATGTGTGACGAGGGGGGGGGGTTTGAGAAATGTGACGTCACATCAAAATGTGCAACTTTAAATAAATATAGACAACACGTTCTATTTAATGAAATAGACTTTTTGATTAATGTTTTCTCCTACAACATCAGAGTGCAGTGGCACATTAAATACGCACTACAATGACAATAGTTTAAAGCGTTTTGAAGCATGTTTTATTTTTAGGGGGGGGGGGGGCAGAGCTTCACGACGTCATATTTGAGGGGCGGGGTCTGACTTTTTGTGACGCTGTGTGACTAGGGGGGGTCAAAAATCGTCCAAAATCACGTGACGTCATTTATGGACGGCCCCTAACTCACATATACAGCAGCCTACAGCAGCTCTGCGGATTATCACCATCTTGTAAACTATCCGGGGCTCAGCGCTTCTACTTTGAAGTGGAAACTGGCGTTATTAAGCCTTTTAGAGTTGCAATTATTTAGACAAATAAAACCCCACTCAACACATTGTCAATAAGTAACCTTTAAGTATGAAAAAATAATCATATGTGTTTACTCTTTCTGACAATAAAACAGGTGTTAATAGATACATTTTGCAATGCATCAAGTCTGCATTAACCACACGGACTTGTGGAAAACTACGCAAACATGCTCTGATGTGTTGTCTTTTAAACTGATTGGCATACATGTACACACACATTTTCACGTCCATCGGCTCTCCAGACCAATATTATTCATTATAATTTTGTTTAGCAAACCAAGCACCCTGGCCCGGTTTCGGCCCTCTGGGTCTCATCAGGCAGGCTTGTTAAACAATTGCTGCCCGGGTTACCAGATGTTATTGGCGGCCAGAGCACCCCGTATAAACCATTCAACGCAGTGTAAAAAAAAAGCAATATTCAAGTTTATTTTGTTGAATCAGGTGAGCACTCAAGATAGATCAGGATGATTATCCTTTGCAAGTGACCTGGAGCATGAATCTGCCAGTAGGCGGGTGGTCATTGCTGCTGCTGCTGCGTGTGTGTATATAATCACAATTTAATATTTTACGTCTAATCAAATTTAGTACCGTAACGCAGGCACACAATGGCCTAATCTTGGGAATGTCGTTGGGGGGGGATCTTGAACGTCCACTCTGAAGTGTTATTATGGTTTATACACACATGCAATTAATAACCAGGGTGGCCGCTGGATTCGAACTGTGAACCTCTGCAACTATCAGAGAAACGTGCCACCGCTAGGCCATGTTTGCCACACTATGCAAACTCCCACCACCCAATACAATATTGCATACACAATCATAATAATCAGAGAAACGTGCCACCGCTAGGCCATGTTTGCCACACTATGCAAACTCCCACCACCCAATACAATATTGCATACACAATCATAATAATCAGTTGATTTAACTTTTAATAAAAAGTCCTGAACGAGACTATTCTAAAATGATGATCCTGCGTACAATGTTTTACACTAAACCCGGTGAAATTACTTTACGTGAGAATGAACTATTGTGATTGTTTATCCTCAGGTCACCGTGCTGTTTTGGAAACGTTTCCGTTTCTCGTGGGAAAGTGACCGTGGGATATTTTTTTGTTGTTCATCTCGTCTGCGCCAAAATAGTTTTGGCTTGGGCTCATTTGTGTGCTGTTGTCGAGCACGATTGTTTACCTTGGACGGTAAGATGTGAACCGGTGTTACAAAAGCTTTGGGGAATTTGTTGAGTCTCTTAAACTGCTGATTAGCACGGTTGGCAACGTACGGTGCAAAAGAAGTTCAACGTACATCAGCCTCCGATTAGCACGGTTGGCTACATAGGTACGAAAGAAGTTTAACATACATACATACATCAGCCTCCGATTAGCACGGTTGGCTACGTACGGTGCAAAAGAAGTTCAACGTACATACATGCAGCCTCGAGATCACCTCCCTGCAGGTAAAGTCAAAAACTCAAAATGATTTCCTGCTCAAATGAATGATTTGTTCTCATCTTATATTTAACAACTCTGCAGAGTCAGTGGTGGATATTCCACCTTTCCATGGCAGGGCTGACCCGATCAATGGAACAACCACCTTTGACTTCTCGACAAAATTATACTTAAATTTCGATTTAAAGCTTTTGTGATTGCAATGATTCATCTTCTTTGGTTCTTTCGGTAAAGTCACGTAGAATGAGAATAAAATAATAAATTGATAAAATAAAATAACACAATAATATTCTCACGACGTTTCGGCCACAACACAAGCGGCCTTCATCAGGTGAAGGGACGAGACTGTCTGGTAGGACAGCGTGAGAATATTATTGTGTTATTTTATTTTATCAATGTATTATTTTATTCTCATTCTACGTGACTTTACCGAAAGAACCAAAGAAGAATAATGATACTTCTTTTTGTCGGCTCTGGATGGATGATGGGCCGTGTCACCCCCCCTCCCATAAACCTGGGTTTGAACTTGCAACCTTCGGAATATCAGCCACCTGGCAAGGGTGACATCCACATTTATTCATTCCACGTTTAAATCCATAGCATGCAAGACGTTCGTCAACGTTCTTGCGTAAAGTGTCAAGATTAAACACCAACTCTGGAACTCTCACCAAGATGCCCCCTGTACGTGGAATAACATTGCCACATCTCTCTCACGTGTTTAAAAAAAAACGACGTATGCACTCCAGCGGGCACCGACTGCATCGCGCGCACGAGCGTGCGCGCGTCACTGCTGCTGTCTTCCCAGACGATGACTTCCGGATCCGGAAGGCCGCCCGTCCGGATAAGAAGCGGAGCCAGGAGACGGCCGCGGGCAAGAGAAGGAAGAAACGGCGAGACGAGTGGTGAGACTCCCCCCTCAACCCCTCGCTGCTGGGCACTAGCTCCTCACTCACACCAACAGCTCACACGTGCCCGCTGCCAACACTTTCCCCAACACCCCGCGTAGGCTCTACAGGGGGGTGGGGGGATCTGGTCGCACTGGCCCCCCCCTCATAGGTGTGCTGCATTGACCGTATATATTTCTGTCTATGTTGAACTTCTTTTCGCACCGCACGTAGCCAACCGTGCCAATCGGAGGTGCGGGGGGGAGGACAACAAACTGAACACAAAAAGCAGTTCTAAAGAAATAAAGTTTTCAGTATACATTTAAAAGTGCATAGCTCCAGCAGCACTTGCCCCAACAGGCAGTGTAGGCTACACGGGGGGCCTTTGTCTTTGTTGTATGTGGTGGGTCCAGCGCGCTACAGCTGTCGGATGAGCTGACCTACGAGCAGGAGCTGCAGGCGGTGCTGGCCCTGTCCATGCAGGAGAACACGGTCACCGCACCCGCCAACCTGGCAGCAGAGGCCTCGACTCCAGCAGCCACCGAAGAGGTCTCGAACCCTGACCCGCCCAACCAGGCAGCCGCGGCGCAAAACACTTTGGCTGCTGCACAGGAGGACCCCGGCACACCCATTCCGCCAACGGCCACCGCTACTGCTGCTGCTGCTGCTCCTCCGAGCCCGGAGCAGCTGCCGGCGCCATCGCGCAAGCGGAATTCCGGGTCCCCCCTGGCATTGGCCGAGCCGCCACCATTGCACGACGAGCCAGAGACGCCCGTGGCGAAGGGAGGATGCTCCGAGGGAGAGGAGGGCCGCGTCGGTCTGCGGCCAGAGCCGGCGACGGCCTGCGAGCCCGAATCCGGCCAAGGCGAGGAAGCCGCGGAGGGCGGGCCACAAGCAACCGGTGATTGCGGAAGCGCGACGACGCCGCCGCCGACGACACTTTCAGCGTCGGCATCGTCGTCATCGTCGACGGTGCCAGAAGAGCTCCGCGATAGGGGGAAACGGCCGGAGGCCCTAGGTGGGTGCAGCTGTGCGGCAGGGATAGGAACCGATACGTTGGTTCATCGATTAACATTGACTTGCGGAAATCCACGCAGAATGCGTCAGATGAAGGGTGTAGCGCTTTGCAGACTTTACCACGAATAATAAATAGCTTGGTTCTGTGGCCCTATATTGGGCTTTTGGGTCAACTCCATGAACAAGTTTTTTTATTGACGTGGTAGGAAACCTGGAGCGCACGTAAAAAAAACCCATGCATGAGAGGAGCGTAAAACGTAATCCCCGTACGGATGGCAATTAATCCACTTGCTGGCTAGCCAGGAGATGGCAAGAGGGATTTTCACGGATCAGTGTGTGGTCCTCAAACCCTCACTGCCTCCACAGTGCTGGGTTACAGGCCACGTGCAGCAAAGCCACCGGCTCAGTGTATAAGTAATGAGAATAGTCTGCCTCAACACCTACTTCTCCCCATAAAAAAAAAACACAGCCAGTTAATTTTCTCTTAACCCTCTCCCGTTCCGAGGTGTCTGCAAGTTCACCGATGAATCTCGTAACTCTGCGAGCGGTTCAGCGTTCATTTTATTTAAAGGGGCATAACGCCGTAGCTTTAAAAGACATTGCACTCACTGCAGAGAACCGTAGCGACACGACCGCATTTTAGTATAGCTGGCGCCAAACTGCCACACGCCCTCTGGAATGGGCCTTGTGGGAGCCTAGGTAATGATGAAGTTATTTTATATTATTCTTCCGGTTCCATTCCGATGGCATAAATGGAATCGGAAGAAAGACTGATGATGCACACGTACGTACAAGTACGTCGTCGGAATGGGAGAGAGGGTTAAGTGTAAATTACACATCACACAGTTCCGGCAGTGGATTCGGCTCGAAACCGGTTACAAATGAAGATTTTCACTCCCCCCCCCCCTTTTTTTTTTTTTTTACACTCCCAGCAGAGTGCGAGACGTCGGAGAGCATCGAGCGCGCGTCTGGCAAAGGCCAAGCCAAACGCAGGAGCAAGGCCAAGGCCGTCCCTGCCACGCCGCCCCCGCCGCACGACCCTGCCGTCACCCCGTCACCAGCGGCGGCTTCGCCCGTCACGGAGGCGGCGCGCGCAGAAGCGGCGCCCAGCAAGGGGAAATCTCGCAAGAAGGCGGCGGCGCCGGTGGAAAAACCTGCCAAGAAAAGAGCCAAGTCAAAGGCGAAGGGCGGCGCTGCCCTAGAACAGCCGGCGCAGGGTGGCTCCCCGCCACCTCCTCCGCCACAACCGGCTGTGCCGCCGCAAGACGCGAACGGTGACTCCTTACTCACGGCTTCTTTTGTTCCACTGCACAACCGTGCCGCGACGGCCGGCTCGGCTCAGAATATGAGAATCAGAATATTTATTTGGGCTGGAGGAATCCGAAGAGCTATGAAGCTCTTTCGGTAAAGTCACGTAGATGGGTTCAAAGAAAACAACAACAAAAACTACGACGTTTCGATCGTCATCCTGATGACGGCCGCTTGTGTTGCGATCGAAACGTCGTGGTTTTTTGTTATCTTACTTTGAACCTATCTACGTGACTTTACCGAAAGACCCAAAGAATATGAATTCCTGCAGTCACGAAAGCCATAAGTCACGATTTGACACTGAGATATTAAGCTTATTTTTCAGAAGCGACCACTGCAGAACCCGAGGCGTGCCGTTGATGTCGCCCGCGGCGAACGAGTCGAGACGTGTGCGGGCGACGTCGCGACCTAACTCGCCGTGTTTTCCGAGCGCAGGCGTAACTGCAGATGCCGCTTCGGAAGCGGCTCCGGACCCGTCTGCAAGCGCGGCCGTGGCCGACGACGGGGCATCCGACAACGCCGGTGCCGCTGACCACAGCGCGCCGCTCAGGAAGAACAAGAAGGCCAAGGCGGCCAAGCCGGTGGGTACGGCACGGCCCACCGTGCTCACGCCGCAGCAGACCGGCGGCGGCGGAGCGAACCAGGAGGGCACCGATGCCGGTGAGCAGCGTCGGTCACAACAGTAATTCCCTTTATTACGTGCTTTTCATCAAGGATCTCAAAGCACTGTACAGCACCCAGCAGGAACAGCAGACACCGCATGAACATAAAAATGTTATAAATACATTTTAAAAATATCCAGTTACAGAAGTGAACTAAAGGTTTAATAAGCGGAAGCGTACAAATAGGTTTTAAAGACGCGTTTTAAAAATGTCCAGAGACTCGGAGATCTTGTGGAAGAGCGTTCCATAGCCTGGGGACGACATGGGAAATATATTTGGGCTACACGGCAAAAATGCTGGGGGCTACACGGGAAAGCTCGGACCTCTCGGTCGCCGTAAGGCCGGCGATTTTGGCGCGGTGGTTTTTAAGTCAAATTGATGGCCGAGATGGGAGGAAGGAAAAAAACACTCAAGGAATAAGGGTCGTCTGTTCGGCGGTTCCGCTCCGTGTTTCAGCTGTGGCTTTGGCTAGCCAGGTGACGAGATCTTAACTAATTCGCCTGGTACAGGTTGTGGGTTTGATCCCGACCCCGACACCTGTATATTAGAGATTTGCATGTTCTCCCCATGGTTGCGTGGATTTTTCTCCGGGTCCTCCGGTTTTTCCCTCCACATTTAGAAGCCTTCAGAGTATTTGGCTGCTATAAATTTCCACGTGACGATGGGCCACTTTGTTGAGCTATCACGTGCGGCCAGGTCGCTTCTGAAAGAAGAACTATAGAGCTCAGTGGGCCTTACCTGATAACATAAAAAGTTAAGTTTACTTTGGGCTGCCCGAGTGGGCCAGTGACTTGTTTGCCGACACCACCTCTTGCGCCTGGCTATTGGAGTGACACCAAGCTTGGCTCCGTTCCTCCTCACGCTCACCATCATTTATGTCCGTGCTATATTGTACGCATCGCAAATTTTCTCTTGTCATTTAGAGCCACTCTCTCTATTTAAGGCCTTGACACAGAGGCGTTGTTTATCTGTGTGTCTATGTTGTGTCTCTCTCTGTGTGTCTCTGTGTTGTCTCTCTCTGCTTGTGTGTCTGCCTGTGTGTCTATGTTGTGTGTCTCTCTCTCTGTTGTCTCTCTCTGCTTGTGTGCCTATCTGTGTGTCTCCGTGTCTATGTTTTGTCTCTCTTTCAAATTTAGCAATCTTTGGAAGAACTTAATCAACCAGGTAGGGTGTTGACTGTTGTGTTAGCCGACTCTCTGTGTTGTATTGCATTATATTTCTAAGTTTACTAGATTTGTTTTCGCATTCATTTTTACCTGATGACAATTGCTTGTGTTGCAATCGAAACGTCGTATGCTATTATTTATTTTCTGTCTACGTGACTTTACCGAAAGAACCAAAGAGTTGTTAAGTGATGTTCGTGCGCCGCCTTGCTCGACTGCGCGAGCGCTCTCTCCTTGTGCGTTTCAGAAGCCGTAGCTGCTAACGGTAAGAAGAGCGTGGCGGTCAAACCAGCTGCTGCCAAAACTCGGAAAATTCCACAGCCGGCAGGTAATAAATCCCGAGCTGTACTCCTTATCTGAGCAGGGCACAACTAAGCCTGTGGTTTCCACAGCCCAGACTGTGGTGTCACCGTGGTGAGACGTTAACTACCTCGCTTGGTGTACATGAGGTCGTGGGTTCGATCTTGACACCTGTATATTTGGAGTTTGCATGTTCTTTCTGTGGTCGCATGGATTTTATTCATCGGGTGCTTTGGTTGTCCCCCTCCGCATTTAGAATCAACAAGCGTTTGTAGTATTCGGCTGCCGCAAATTTCCACAGCGTAAGCCACTTCATTGAGCTATCATTTGTGATAGCCAGGTCGCTTCTGAAAAAGAGCTATATAGCTCAGTGGGCCTTACCTGGTAAAATAAAACATAGTTTAGTTTCAATAGTTTAGTAAATGTATTGAGTTCAAAACAGAACTAACGGCTCACCGTCTTCACACGCATCTGAAATTCCATCTGTACTCGGACGAGAATATCAGCGTTACTTCACTAATTTTCAAAGGAGGGGGGGGGGGGCCCGCACTTCCGCCGATAAGACATCGTCAGTGTGAGAGCAGCCACACCATTTGTCTTGTCGGGGGGCCGTACGTCAGGGGCCGCCAGTGGCCCCCCGCGCGGCCTTGCAATGAAGAACACTCAGAATATTATTCCCGTGTGTGCATGGGAAGGATATTTTCTGACGGGCTTTGAAGCATATGTAATGTTACGTCTGTAAGATAAACGTAAAAAAAAAAGAAATGTCACGTAACTGAGAGCGTGGCATGAACGGGGGGGGGGGGGGGGGGGGAGTGCCGATGAGCATGGCGTTCCCCAAAGGCACAGGTTCACTGAATTCCATACAACAGGTGAGTACAGAACTGCATTAGCTGTTGATATGCTAGGTCACATACGCATGCCATCTTCGACCACACGCAGATTCATTGGCTTGCAAGGTGTTTCGGTCACACCTTTTTCTTGGTTCTATTTATATTATTGTGATGGAAGACTAGGCCAAAATTACTCTGTAGTGAGGCTCTCTACAGCTCCCTCTGATGGTGGCTTATCCACCAACATTAGCTTGAGCAAGACATTGCATAGCTGCACCTTCATCTTATAAAAAAAAATGTATTTAGTTTTGGATCGTTCTTCGAGCTAATACCAAATTCTGTCTTACTCCGGTCCAGCTTTGAGAGGTTTTACTCCTGTATATGTACGTACAGTAAAACCTTGGATTGCGAGTGTTTTTCAAGACGAGCAAACATTTTAAATAAATATCAATTTGATAAACGAGCGAGGTCTTGCAATACGAGTAGTAGTACGTGTACGCTTTGTCTGCCGAGCGTCACGTGATCACAACTGATACACGAGTGCTTTGGATTACAAACACGTTTCCGGAACGAATTATGCTCGCAATCCAAGGTTTTACTGTACGTATATGTTGAACTTCTTTCGCACCATACGTAGCCAACCGTGCTAATCGGAGGTGCGGGGGGAAGGATAACAAACTAAACACAACAAGCAGTTCTAAAGAAATTAGTTTTCAATCTACATTTAAAAGTGCATAGCCCCTAGCGGCTTCCTAATATCAGAGGGAAGAGCGTTCCAGACGGCGGTAGAAACGCATCTGAAAGCACGCGACGCAGTGACCGTCTATTCGTCGATCATCTAAAAGCTGCTGCTGCTGCTGCGAGAATGACGGGAGTTCACGTGGCGAGATCGGCAAGGTGATGCGGTTCATCTGTGGCAAGCACTTTGTGTGAAATGAGTGCGGCTTTATCATGAATTTGTTCGGCAACCAGAAGCCAATGCAGCTTAGCGAGCACCGGACGGGCATGGTCAGAACTTGCAGTACCCGTCACGACACGTGCCAAATAATTTTGCGCACACCTGCAGCTTGGTAATGTTTTTTTTTGCCAGACGTCCCGTAGAGTAGTGAGTCGCAGCAGCAATCGAGCATTGGCGGTACTACGCTACACGCCGAAGTGTCGGCTACGTCGCAACTTAAGTGGTCGAACGTGTGTCGTAGAAGCCCCGATATGAAAATTGCAATTGTTGAGCTGGTGGCTGCACCATCGTGACATTCTGCTGTGCCAACCACCCCCCCCCCCCCAGTTGCTACAGCGGGACGGGGGCTGGGCTCCCCACGGTGCCGAGGGGCCGAGGCGTCATCGGGAACCCCCGCGGGAGCGGCCGGAGCGGCGCCCGCCCTGGCTCGCTCGCCAGGGGGCAGCACCCTGCGCCTGGGGCTGTCGCGGTTCGCTCGGATCAAGCCCCTGCACCCCACGCTGCCACCCGAGTAGGACCGTCCTGCCGGGATTGGACAACGCCAGGATCGGGCCAAGTGGCTACACACTGAGCCAGGATCGGTTGAAGTGGATCAGCTCTATTTGGTTAATGTCACCACAACCAGCTATGTTGGTTAAATTCACTGGAACCAGCTGTATTGGATAAGTTCACCAGAAATGGATGCATTGGAGTAAGTTCAATAGAATCTGTTTCAGTTATATTCGTTAGGGTCACTGGAAGTGGTTCAGGTTCCCCAGAATGGGCTATATCGGTTAAATTTTACCGTAAATAAGCTGCATTGTTTTAGTTCATCAGGATCGGCTGTATTGGTTAACTTATTCACCCAAGAAAGCCTGATTGAGTCTGGAATAAAACAATGCATATGGGTTCATGAACCACATTGCTATACTTAAATCTCCTGGCCGACTTGTACCTCGGTGGGTTTGGGAGTTGCAGAAATGTGCGCGACCCACCAACCCCTTGCCTCTAAAGCGCTGGATCAGAGGCGTGCGTCACCATACTCTGCGATTTCGCTCAGCGTCAGCTTCATCGGTTAAATGTTTACCGATCCTTGTGATGTTGACATTCACCAGGATCATTTTCCGATTGTAATGGGTCATGTAATGGGCCATAGGCCATGTGCCATATACATTGCATCAGCAGCCTGTGTATAGGAGGATCTTTTTAGGGAAAAGGGCCAACGAGTGAGTGTGTGTAAAGAATCATTCCTTCGTTAATTTAAATCAATTTTTATGCCCGTGATGGAAGTACCAAAATGTGCGCGTGGGAATCGGTTGTTTACGATGTATACAATTAGAGTGATATGTATCTTCGGGATGATGGAAAGAGACGAGCTGGAATATATGAGGCAAGACGACACGGACAATAAAGGATTGATTCCTTGTAAAATCACGTCAGACAGCCCAATTGCAGGAGTGATGATGGTTAAATGCCTCTTCCCGAGCCTCACGTTTTAGACTGCGTGTGCCGTGCATTGGATATCAAGAGGTTTTTTTTTGGTTAGATCGCGTAAATATAAATGTGTCGTTAAACCCACCAGCACCCGACACAGCCAATTAGTAAGGTTTGTCACGAAAGCCTACGTGTTCAATTGAATATCTCGTTTGCGCCGAAGCGAGTTCGATATTGCTTTTGTGTTTTCACGATACTACGGGTATCGCTTTACTTATTTAAATGAGCTGCCTTGTGGCATATTCTATTTATACGTGTACGCGACTGTATTTATGCAATGTGCTTTTTTTACCCCGAGGTGCTGTGTTTATCACGCGAGTGAATTGTTTTAAGTGCTTGCACGCTGGACTCAATGAATGCCCCATCACACCGAGTTGCCCAGTAGTAGCTTTGCGAATCTCCTTGCTGATGTCGTCAAAGAGCAACAAAGCATCACACGAACTCCGGTAATCCTCGCGGCGGCTTTTGGCTAACCATCGAACAAAGACGGTCGACGCATCCCGCGCTTTCAGATGCGCTTCTGCGGCCGTCTGGAATGCTCTTATGACACGAAGCCACTGGAGCTATATGCACTTTTCAATAATTTAGATTGAAAACGAATTTCTCTAGAACTGCGGTTTTGTGTTTTGTTTGTTCTTTCCGCACCTCCGATTAGCACGGTTGGCGACATACAGTGCGAAACAAGTTCTACATACATACTTTGATGTTCAGTTTTTTTTACATTACTCACTTTGCAGTTGTTAAAGAAGCTACCGGGCCAGCAGCGTGGTGCCAGACGATGAGTGCGCGTGGGGAGGGTGTCTGTTGATGGTCTCTGCATCGCGAGTGCAAGCAGTGTGAATAAACGTGTTTTGTATTTAACTTGCATTGACGAAACCCCCCCCCCCCCCCCGGTTTCATCTGCTGATTGAGCTGTTTGCAATGAACAGCAACTTTTTTTTACCGTGGCACCCACAAGATGAGTAGAGTCTAAATTATTTTAAATTTGACCAGGTAGGCCCCCCCCAGTGAGCTATGTAGCTCATTTTCAGAAGCGACCTGGCCATAAAGCAGGGGTGGGTAACCTTTTTTTCTGCCAAGGGCCATTTGGATATTTAAAACATCATTCGCGGGCCATACAAAATTATCAACTTAAAAATGAGCCTGTTATGGAATTTCGAGTCCCGCCTGCGGTTGCCTTGGCAAGGCCCCAGACCAAATGATTTTGCGGGCCTTATACAGCCCGTGGGCCGGACGTTACCCACCCCTGCCATAAAGTGATAGCTCAACGAAGTAGCTTATCACGTGGAAATTGAAATAGCCACATCCTCGAATGTAAGGAAAGCGGGGAAGAGAAATAAACAAGGAATGGGAAAAATGGACGCAAAGGTGATCGTAAGAGGGCTTGCACAAGGGGGTTTGACGCTGCTGCATGGAGCAGCGTGTGTTTTCACAGGGGGTGGGGAGAGGGGAGGGATTTCGAGTCGTGGTGGTGACCACACAAGCCACGTGATTTACATGACGCTTTGGTTCATTTAAATATACATGTACAAGACTACGTGGTACATGTACAGCACTTTGGTGAGTCCACTGCTGGATGAGGACCTCACCACAGATGGATACACAAAAGACTGATCGGTGGACACGTTGGTGATTCCCTGCTCCAATGAGCATGGGGACCGGTGCTCATTCCATTCACAACTCTGAAGCAGTGGTGGAAATTCCGCATTCCTATGGCGGGGATGGGCAATTGTACACAAAGGGCAATCACTTTGACTTTCACACGGTGGTACTTATTTGTGAACTACCTCGCCTGGTATGCAGGTGGTCGTGGGTTCGATCCTCAACCCTGACGCCTGCTGCTGCTGTATATTTTGAGTTTGCGTCTCTCTCCCCGCGGTCGCGTGGATTTTTCTCCGGGTCCTCCCGGTTTTTCCCTCCGCGTTTAGAATCGACAGCGCGCGCTTAGAGGGCATTTGACTGCTTGACATTTCTACAGGATAAGCCACTTTGTTTCAGCCATCATTTGTGATCGGTCGCTTCTGAAAAAGAGCTAGTGGGCCTTACCTGATAAAATAACAAAAAATAGTTTAGCATATACGGGGTGCTTTAAAAAAAATGTTAACACTCCCGAGAAATTGCAACAGTGTCACGGGAAATGTTCCGCCTCCGGGGCTTTGCAGACCAAATGGAGAAGATTCCAGGCACGTGTTGATAATGATGGCGAACAAGTGGAGACTTTGACTTTCTGAAGCTATTAACGTTCAATTTGTTATGATCTTCATTTGAAGCTTTCGTGACTGCAGGAATCCATATGCTTTGGTTCTTTTGGTAAAGTCACGTAGGTAGAAAAATTAAATAGAACAATTTTTTATATATATAAACCCCCTCCAGGCTGATAATTTTTGCTTTAATAAAATAAAAAAAAATGTTTTATTTTTCTACCTACGTGACTATACCGAAAGAACCAACGAGTATTCGTTACGATGTTACAGTGTTTTCTTGTCCGTTATTTTTCTATTAAAAACGATAGTCCCATATAAGCGTTAACATTTTAAAAAAAAATCTACCCTGTATATTACCAGAGAGAAGCACGGTCAGCCTGGAGGAGGTTTAACCTCTGAACTGGCATCTTTCACTGAACCCTTCCTCCCAGGATCCCCCACGCCGACGTCTCCTCTCCGAGGGCCTCCGTGCCTCGTCCGCCCCGCGAGCGATGGAGTCGCACCTGGCCACAGCCGCCGCCTCCCTCTGCTTCTCGGACGCTCTCTCGGCCGCCCGGGGCCACGCCTCCTCCTCCTGGGGCCCCGCGGAGGCCGCCGCCGCGATGGCGTGGGCCCGGCACTTCGAGGGCGCGACCACCGCGCAAGACCGCGCGCCTGCCGCCCACGACGCGCTCGGCTCGGCGGGGCCTCTAGGCGAGGCACGCGCCCGCGGCACGGCCTCGGTGCTGGGCGCGCTGCTGAGGAACCCGTGGCTGGGGAAGGAGACGCGGCTCTGGGCGGTCGGGGAGGCCCTGAGGGAAGGTGGGGACGGTGGTGGGGGGGCCTTGCTGATGGAGGAGGCGAGGCTGAGGGCTTCCGTGGAGATGCTGGGTCTGGCGGCCTCTTCAATAACATCACCATCATTCGGCTCGCCCTCCTCTCCCGTATCATTGTCGTCGTCCGCGGCGTCCTCCACCTCCTCGCTGGGCCTCAGGGCTCGGCTCCTGCGGGCCGCTCTGGCCGCGAGGCTCCGACGAGGAGGCGGCGGCGAGGCCGCGGCGGTGGAGATGCTGGAGCGTGGCCGCCTGGCGGGGACGAGGAGGAGTCCGTGGCTCGCTGAGCTCGCATTGGCCGCGCTGGTGGAGCCGAGTGAGGAGGAGGACGATGACGATGTGGCGAGGGACACGATTGAGCGGTGGCTGCTCGAATCGGGCGCCTTTGAGGAGGCGTGTGATGTTGGTGGTGGTAATGATGTTGGTGGTGGTGTTGATGTTGGTGGTGATGATGTTGGTGGTGGTGGTGGTGATGATGTTGGTGGTGGTGGTGGTGATGATGATGTTGTTGTTGGTGGTGATGATGTTGGTGGTGATGATGTTGGTGCTGGTGGTGATGATGTTGGTGGTGGTGGTGATGATGTTGGTGGTGGTGGTGATGATGTTGGTGGTGGTGATGATGTTGGTGGTGATGATGATGATGTTGGTGGTGATGATGATGATGTTGGTGGTGGTGACGGAGGAGCCAGCTGCGAGGTGAAGCCGGCGAGGGACCGAAGCCCACACAGCAACTCGACACGGCAGCTGATATCAGCTCAGGACCGAGCACCAGCCCAGCAGCAGCAGCGGCGGCGGCACATGGACCCGAGACCGGGCCAAATCCTCTCGCAAAGCCTCAACCCATCAAGGCAGCGCCATGCCGACAAAGCAACGACCACCACCACGAGTCGCCACGCCAACAACCCACAGATGTCCCCACCCCAGACCGAACCCCGAGCCCTCCTACTCGCCGCTTGCGCGCAGCGGCCCCGGCTGCGCGAGTTCTACCTCGAGCGGCTGAGCGGTCACGTGGCCTCGCTGCGCCGCGACTCGGGGGCCCACGGGGGGCCGTGCGCGGGCCGCTGGTGGACGGCGGCCGCGAGGAGGGGGTCACCCGGCTGGGCCGAGCTGCGGGGCCGCTTCTCAGAGCTGCTGCTGCTGCCCGGGCCGTGCCACAGCGAGTTGCGGGAGGCGACGGAGAGGACAGTCAGGGCCCGGCGTGCCCGAGCCGGGGCCCTGCCGCCCCTGCGAGGCCTCGACCCCTGGGAGGACCTGGCCAGAGAGCTGCGGCTGGACACGTCCACTGGCCCGTGATGATCAGCGGGGGGTTTTGGGGGGGGGGGGTCCAGTTGTCTTGTGACCCCCCCCCCCGCCAATTAATTGACTGACCCCTAACATTTTTGTCTGCCCATTTCATAATTTATTTCTGTTTTCACACTCATTCGTATACACAAAATATTACGTTATAGATAATTAAATGGGGGGGGGGGGGGGCGTCACAAGACATCTGGACAATCCTGAGGAAC